AGATCCAAACTGAGGTTTTGACTAAAGAATAGCTGTCCAGGTGAGTTAGATACGCGCCCTTGCCCGGTTGGAACCAAAACAAAGTGGTTGGGTAAAGTGAAGGTTCTTAAATTCATTATAAATTTAAATGTACATTGTTACCTAAACAAATACGACCACCCAGCTATCCGACCAATAATTGTTCAATTATTCAAATCTAAATTCGAATAAAAAAGGAAATTGATAAAGGATGCGAGAAAATTATCAATCGCAACAAATAAATGCTATTCTATAGTGTGTGGATAGATCACGCATAGATTCGCTCAAAAGATACTATTTGATTGCTTTATAATACAGAGTTTTTCCAATTCTGAAAGAGTGCTTCAATTTACAATAAAAAATGCACAGTTCCAGTCAATCCACCAACACAATCAATAGGAGGAACGAAGCAATATGGCTGCCGCCAAGACTAAGTATCAAGTAAAACAACACAAATGCAGACCAGGAAGAAACATCAAAACTTAGTAAAGGCGTAAGAAACATAAAATCTGCAATAAAATACAAATATTAACAACTCAAACGCAATCAAAAAGACTAAAAATATGTGCAACTAAAGGAATCAATAGGAACAGACTTCAAGTGTATAGATGGGGGGTTTTCACACACAAAACATTCAAAATGGATCTTACAGATTATACTTTTATTCAGGTGCTTGTAATTCCCACCGTTTCTCTTGTACTATTTTTAAGACAAAATACTTGAGATCATGTTCTCATCCATTTACATAGTAACGGCCCTGTATACTATTTATCTAGTCTCAAAATGGTTGTACAAACTGAAAATTATTCAACTCATATTGATCGCGAAAAATAAATTGAATTCTGGTCTCCGAAAATATAATTCGGTACGTAGTTGTAGACAGACCTTATGCTAAAACCCATTCGGCAGTCCGCTACACCCACAAGAATATAGTAAAACATCAAATATTTGCAGACAATTTCAATTCTAATTTAACCCTGATTTCATAGAACGCAAAATCATTAACATCATAATCATAATCCCATGAAGTTGAACCATCCGCAAAACAGAAAACAAACTGCTTAAAAGTCGAGTATTACCGGATGTTACTACTTGCTATAAAATGTGAACCCAAATGACTACCATACGTACAAGTTCGCCCATCAACACTAGTGAAACTGTTGGATTACTATCAAAGATGACATTGACTGCATCTCTTTTTGCCACTAGAATAATAGACTTAATCCTAAATTGTAGTGTAGCGGTAAATAATTTTCCAAAATAAATAGCTCTGTAAGTTTTCGACATTGGATGCTCACCACATATTTTAATGGACTCACCTAGCTGAAGGCGCTCGGTCATGCATCCGCACCAGATCACGTGTGGTAACGTCGTGCTCAACATCTACCGCAATCGCTAGCAAGATTAGATCAGAGAATTCCGATATATTGGTAACCGCCAAATACACTCTTCCGACCTCCTCGACTATGTCTTTTGATTACTCTCGGTGGATACGAATTATATTAGGTGTTGCTGGTAAAAACGTTGTCAAACACTGAATACCTGTGCCATCTTCAGTAGATTCGCCATCACGTGATTTCGTAATCTATAAGATCTTACGTGGAAGTCAGATAAGCGTCTTTACTGACTTGTTCTATCGTGGCAATCAGCAAAATACCATTTACAGCCTCTGAGGAACGCTTTTGAACTCGAAAGCAAATAATATATTTAACACGAAAGGAAGGAAGTTACGTAGAGTGACCATATCTGCATGGCCAAGCTATGCCATACCAACCAAGTGTTTCTGCCTCCACCGTTTCCCAACCTCTCTAAATTCTAGATATTGAGTGTTTACCTCTTCAGCCATCGCGCGTGAATGTTGTGGTTGAAGACCGATACAAGTATACTTTTACAAGTGTCATTTAGTATACCATTGATCAGTTAACCACATACAGAGCCATTATCTAATATCAATCCTTGGATACTCTTCTGTACACTCGCGCATTATAATAACCTAGACCGGAGTTTGCGTGAGTGACTCTATTCAAACCCGGATGTAAAATTGGCTGTTATGGATTTTAGATTAGAAATACATGATGTATAACATTTTTATTACTTTGGTATTAGCAGATAAATCTATGAAATAAGCAGTTTTGTTAGTCCTTGACACTGACGCTGGTTTCAAAACGCTTAGTAAATGTATGTATATAGCGGAAGGCTCTCGGCCAGTCATCCACAACGGACCACATTTGGTGTGACCGACATATGTGTTCAGTAACTCAAAGTTTTGATGGCCCAACCACGTTAGTTCAACAAGTACGTAAAAACTAGTACGTTTACCACTGATGGTTTAGAACATTACAAAAACTTAAGAAAGGCTATACTTGAAAGTGTAAATCCAACATTAAACGAATTGTACATCAACTTCGGATTATGACATAAATCGGCAACGGAAACGTCGCTATGTATGCGAGCGGTCATTGACGAATGAACCTTGACAACGCATACTTTAAATAACTGTTTTATCTAAGCTTTGTGGATTTCTTGGCTGCAGGTTATCCTTTGTTAAAGTCAAAAACGTAACGACTCAGATTTTTAGACGATAGATATTGTGGACCATACAAATCCAAACAGAAAAAATGTGTTCAGCCAGCATTTACAGGACCACCTCTATTCTCAACAGCTCAACGATTAGCTCCTGGAAAGCTAAGATTAGCTAATATGAAGTTCACACATATAACAGATTTTGCAGTAATCCCGTGATCGAAAAGTCCATGAGCATCTCCTTTCTTTATGGTACCTTTATTGATATCCAACTGGTTATAAGTGAATTTGCATAAAAAGCACTCAAGACCGTAACCTGACAACTGCACTGACGGATATGACTGTCTTTTCAACGTCTAACGTATTTAAGAAAAACAACTAAATCCTTATGGCTATGGATGGTATCCTTCGAATTCTTCCATCACTCCTTTCGGATTCCGCGAATTTTCGCAGTATAAGAAGTGCTGCGCCAAACGCCTAAAGGTATGTATCCAGAGGCACCAGTTTTGTGCACGCTCATCTCGAAAATGGCCTGATTGAAAATACGTAAAGAGAATATCATCCTCAATATCTGGACCTCGACTCCCAACGACCACGAAAACACCCCATAACTTTTAGAATTATTAGCCACACACAGCTTATTAGTACATAAGTTTTGTGAAGGAATCATTTCGAGTTTCTATCAATGTGAGACTGAAAATTATTACGTTTTGGATTGAATTGGTGAGCGGATGAATGTTGGACCACTATTGAAAACCTAGAACCAATGGACGGCCGTCTCGTTCTGGTATGGGACTCCTCAGCAGTGATCATCCATGATACCGCACAAGAGATTCCTCGTCGATACGATTCTATGACACTGAATTCAGATATGACTCTATGCTCAAAGAACTCCTAGTTATGTATTGTGCCATACCACACATTCAATACTATGGAAGGCCGAGAATTCACTCTCTTCATAAATCATCTCACAGCTTACTTCAGACAAACAATATACTTCCGAAACAGACGATGTAGTTGTAGATGCCTTGTCTTGTATAACTTATTTGAAGGGTTTCCAAAAGATCTACTCCCTTGAACTTGCTGATGTTATAAAAAGACATCGACCTATTGCAATAGTTACATTCTACAACCTTAAAACCGCGAATCAAACACAAAGGAAGAGGTAGAGAAAACTTACCTTCTGACATATATGTATGTAGTCTAGTTCCAGATTTTATAACACAGTCATTCGTGCAAATCATTAGTATAAGCAAACTGAAAACATCACCGTCAAATTTACTTTTCATGCACTCACGTTCGATGAACTTCCGTTAACCATCTGTCCGAAATACACATGAATGTCAGTATTTTCACGTGATAAATGAGTAATAGATCATACGAGTTAGTAGTATTACCAAGTGCTGTCACGATTTAGTAATAAATAAGTCGAGAAAATCTCCTCGTAACTAAACAAGCCGTATTAAACTATTACCAAAAAAATATTTCAGCGATAATCCAAGAAAACATAAGATATACACGAACGGAATCTGTCACTGAGTGTTGACAATAGTGGGTTTATTTACAATGGCCGCAGACTTCCAGTAAGCCTGCCCTACATTGAAACTATAATTCAGTTCGAAAGCTTCACTAACGATCCTCCCTTCGAAAGTGGTTTGTTTCATCGATTCTATGTCGGTGTGATTACCAATAAGTTATGCAGACAAGGTCTAGTATCCATTTAATTGACTGTAAAATGAGGTAGAACCTCTAACATCTTACCTGTTTGAGGTTGTCTTCTTAATATAAGTGCCTACAATCCTTACCTACTTAATTAAGCTTGTTACCCCTCGTGGAGGAGCATAAACCTCCCCCTAGCACTCTCCATCCTACTCTGTCTTGGGAAATTCTTTCCAGTTGTTATTCATTCTTTTAATGCCTGCTTTCAGTTTCTGATCCAAAGTCTGCCCATGTTCATACTAACTATTATCATGGTTGACTTCCTGATATTTTTGGTAAATGTCCTTTGGGCTCCATCGCAACTCCTGACACTTGTTTTTAACCACATTCATCTTGATTTAGTATCCATCACTAGTTTTTCTCCCCCAATTCATTTCATCCAAGCTATACCCATGAGACATTGGCAAATTAGAGTTTAGAAGACAGATGACCGGCGAACTTCAGTGATTGCATCTCAACTACTTAAAAAAGTCGTCTTTAAAATAGATTTTATAGGATAGTGTGAAACCAAGTTAGTATTCTACATATATCGTAAGCTATTTCGAAGATACCTTCATTGCAATATGTTGAAGTGATGAAGTTTAGACAAGCTATTTTGACGACCGACTTCATAAGTCTCAATTCTCGATTTTGAACTTGTAGAGTCTCATTATTAGACTATTATTCATCTTAAACACAAAGCTCAGTATTATCGATTCGGTTTTCCAACCAGGCTTAAAGGTGTAACAAAAGTCCATTCTACTGGAAAAATATTTTATCTGTTTATTTTTATCCACCAACAAGACTCGATGAAAAGCAAACCAAGACTAATTACAATGGATTAGGTTAGAAAGGGTAAGACTGAATAGAATTTACAAAGGATTCATTTTATCCATTCACTTCGTAACAAAGCTAAGCATAAACGTATATTCACTGATTTCTGTCTGAGTACATTTGACAAATCTGGAATGTGAATAACTTTCGGGGCAGAAGCGATACGCATTTGGCAGAAATCTTGACTGTAATCATTCTTCCATATTACACGTAATAAATGATAACGCCAACCTTGTTGTGAAGCACATAAAATTTCCGGTAATGAAAATTCAAAAAGATCAGTTCCAGAATTTAAATTTGTTTCACTATTATTACTATGTAGATTAGTCGAATCCATTGTTGATTTAACTTCAATGAATATAGGACCAACAGATAGCAAACCTGATGTTTCGGATGATGTACTATCTTGTTGTTGTGAAGGTCTACGAATAATTCGAACAATATTGTTAGTTATTTCATCCTTTAAGTTTTCAATTAAGTTGTCCCACTTGTTCGCATCACATTCAACTATGAAAAAGGGATACAAACAACTAGTTATATATCATTAAGTAGTATAGTCTAAACACAATTAAGTCGCCAGAATGGCGTAGGAAAATAAGATGAATAAAGACACATTTATCTCCAGTATATGATATTCGGCGTTATTCAGTCAACTTGTGATACAAAAGTAGGGGATATCTGGTTACTTTTATACACTTTCAAGTAATTGATTTAATATGGAAACGAAGTGTGAGCCATCTTCAAATACTTCAATATTAATCACTTTAAAAATTACAAAACTTTTTAAAATGTCGTAACAGTAGTTACCAAAATGATTGTTATTATGAACTGAAATTAGATGAATAACCACTGAGAAACTAAAGAGAGGACATTATTTATTTCAACACATAAATATTGGTACAAGAGGGTACCAAATATATATGCGCCACACCATATTTGTGTGTGTGGGCTGTGATACTGCCCGGGTGCCCAGACCGAGGGCCACACCCCGAGCCTTTAACCTAAAGGTCTGATTCACAAGGCAGTGGAGCATCATGAGGAGATGCAGTCTCATGGTGGCCGGTGACCAACAATTGGTTCATACGCCATTTGTTCCCGCAGGATACTGGAGCCCATGTGCACTCCGAGATAGCTACTTCGTTCAATCTTCTGTCTGGGTTGCACACCAACCGCTTTAAATCACGAGATGAAACTCAAACGAGACAGGTTTTAAGCTGAACACAATATCTCTAAATCACTGGATCGAAATGCAGTGATGATCACAAACTGACAAGATTTCAGTTTACATTACATGATGAATTTAGTTAGACAACCATTAAAGACAAAGAAGGACTGGATAACTGTTTTTGTTTTGTTTTAAAAAAAACTAGTAAACTTAACAACAATGAACATCTCTACAACACAAATATTCGGGTTCCACAGTTAGTGTTTAACTTTTGAAGCTCTGAGTTGGCATAATAGTTTACACTGCTAACTTCATTTGAATTAGCGATATGATACAGCACACAATAGAATGACATTAGTGGGTAACTGGATCACACTGTACATGAGTGAATTCTACTGACAATGGTTTCGCATCAGAACTCTTAAAAATTACTTCCCAAAAATAAATCGTTAATGACTACAGGATTGCTTAATTCTCCTCTACGTTCTCAGTGGTTTTCTTACTTAGCTAATGATATCATTATTTTTAAAACAGAAAGAAAAAACAACAACAACAATAGACAATAACCGATGACGAAATAAGAAAGAATTAATATATGATTCCAATTACCTTGAACATCTACCTCAAGATCATATGGTTTCATTGATTCCACATCGGAATTACACCAATTACATCGAATTAATCGTCCAATACCAAGTAAAGGATGCCCAGTAGGAAATTCACAACTAGTCATTTCATCAAAATTATTATGATGAATTTGTATACGATGAATATAATCAATGAATGTATGATAAATATATAATTCACCTAAACGACCAATATTAGTAGATTTGTCAGTAGTATTTACAAGCATACGATTTAAACGAGTTTTTAAATTTTCTGGAATAATAATATTTTCATTATTGAACCAAAATGTTGTTTTATCATGAATTTGATCAATTGATTGACATGTTTCTTTAGAAAGACGAATAAATGGAGTAGTACCAGCATTAATGGCTAAATTTATGTATTGAATAGAGAAGGAAAGAATCAAAAGAAGAATTAAATTAATACGTAGAGTTATATTATAGCATCTCTTATACAATTAAATTTGGATTACGATTAATTTTGTCAAACCATTCAATTAACTTAATTAACAGACAGTGTTATTTGAATATAGAGGATAGCTCACTGACTCGTTCGAAGTAAAGACCAGTGTCAGGTAAGGTTACTTACTCTCACCCTTTCTCTTTCTCCTGGTGATCGATTGGATCATGACGATGTCAACATCTGAAGGGAAACATGGGATACAGTGGACATCTAGGATACAGCTGGATGACCTCGTAGATCATCTGGTTCTTCTATCGCACAAGCAACAACAAATGCAGAAGACGACCAGTGTAGCAGCAGCCTACGTGCATAATCCTCATTCTACCTCAAATGTTAACTGCTCAAATATTGCTCGATGAATCATATATATATATATATATATATATATATATATATATATATATATATATATATATATATAAGATTGAATCTTATTAATTGTTTGTCTTTGATCCTATTTGATTCTGAATCCATTTGCTCGTGCGCATTAGCCTTTCTGTTCAAAATTGCTTGATGTGTTTGTAGCTTGTTTATCTGCGCTAGCCAATAATAAACTGTAGTTGGCGCTTCGTGTTGCCTTCTGAATTCATACACTGTCGGGATTCGTTTAATAACGATTATCACGGTGTTTGATAAACGAACCCTAAGGAATTATCTCGAAACCAAGTAACTACAATATGATCATTGTTAAGTGACTGTAATAGAGGACTTGACACAAGTATAATCTCGATAATGCAATAAGACGAAGTTTATCAGAATTATGTGATATATTTGAGCAATACATTTTGAACAATCAGACCATACACATATACTTGTTAAGATATTTTTATATGAAAATTAAAAAGTCAATTAGACAGGTTAAAGGTAAACCGTAACAAAGAAAAATAATGATAAGGTACACAAAAACAATGTGATAACCACTCTGGATAATAAATCAGTATTACCGGGGTAGGTTAAGTGTAAGGACAAATTGTTTTTGACGCATTAAGTGGGTTTCAGTTTCCGTATAGCCAAGGCTTCAATAAACCTTAGTATACATCCTTAAAGGTTTTTGTATAACACTACAAATTCTGACTTGATTTCAACCTTATTACCAGTCTCAATCAAATGTTTCGCAATGGAGGATGATGTCTGTCTATCCCTGTGAACGTATTTGACCATTGGAATCCATTTGTTTCTGCAGCTATTTTATTATGTGTTTATCCACCCTTAATTGTAAACCACGATTGCTCCTCTCTATGTACGTGTTTCCATACATACATGTGAATTGATAAACACAATGGGATGTGACACAATCACTTACGTGCTGTTTGGGCTTTTGGTGAAACATAGGCTTTGTTTTTTCAATAATGACAAGTTGGGCTACATAAAATGTCCGGTTGATGGCTAATTTAAGTCTCCGTTTCAACATGAGACTATTTGTGTCGCCTCTAAAATGATAACATAATGTAGGCTCGCTTATTTTGGGTGCCAGAAGTGTCATAGTTCTAATCGTATTGCAACCCCTCCAGAGGTTTATAAACTTTAATGAATAACCATTATTCATTAACGTATCAGTCAAGAGTTTCATCTCTACTTCAATCATCTGTCAACATTTAACTTAAATATGAACAACCAAGTAATTGTGAATTATAAACTGAATAAATAAAACCGTACCTGGACAATAGGAAAATTTTTGACTAATCAATTGGTAATTTATCAGTTAAATTAGCTAGAAAGAAATACATGATAATTTCCTGCTAATTACCACTAATCATTGAATACAGATAACAGTACACAATTCAGTCAGTCAGTCAAATACAACGTAGAATCCGATATGTGTATACACTGGTTCAAGTTTCTATATCCTATTAGTATAGTGAGATGAAATTTTTAAGACGAATTTCCAGAGTGATAAAGGTAGTAACACTAACAGTGATAATAGGAAGGATTAAGCATCAAATGTATAGCTCAATGAAAGATAAATTAGTTAAGAAAAGACTATGAGAAATTTAGAAACTTGGAATCTGGAGGGGGGAAGAATGGATGCACTTGCCCTATTTCAAACAATTTTAAGCCACATCATTCAAGGTCCCTAACCATTGGGTTACAATAATCATCTGTTAACACAGTTTAGTCCAATGTTAATGTTTCCATGAACTGGTGCTATATCTTCATTTGGTCATTATTAGCTTTCTTCCAAACTAGTAATACACCAAACAACACTGCGCATCGAAGTCGTCGGTGGTTGGGCATACGTAACACATGTCTCAAGTACCTAATGAGTGAATTAAAGATCTACCAAACATCATTTTAATTTGAGCAGGCGGATAATATAATTAATTCTTGACATTTGAAGTGTTTCTGAAGTACATTATATCTTTTTCAACGTTAGAAAATTTTATCATTAAACATGCACATACACAGACATATGCACTAATAATCAATAACAACAACAACAAAACAACATACCTTGCATAGCACTAAGTGTTGTATCATATCGTGTACTTTGTGTATTAGTAGTAGTAAATGTTGATGATTTCGATGGTATTACCTCGAAAGAATTTACTGAAATCAACGGTTGTTTGTTAATAATACTCTGATTAGTTAATACTATGTTATCACAACTATTAGTACTATTACTACTAACAGATGAATCAGTAGTTTGATTGTTTTGATAACATTCCACTACTTTTGACGTTGTTAATGTTGACGACGACGGTAGTAATGGAGGGCATAACAAATGTAATTCATGTTTAGCTTTACGTTGTTTTACACCATGTGATACAAGATAATTTTCTAATTGACTTAGAAAAGTTGAATTTAAATGTGGTTGATTTATAAAAACTGTTATATCGGTTTGGATGGATAAAGCTAAATTAATGAAACCTTGAATGAATTGACTAGAAAATAAAAAAAAATGTAGAGAAAAACAACAAAAGACCACTTTTCAGGCAATCGATTAAAACACACTGAAATTACTGAAAACCAATATTAGAATTAAAGTGTTGAAAATTGTTGGGGTGATCCAGAAAATTGCTTGCAAAAGACAAGCAAGCATCAGGAAACACTAAGAAGCGTTTCATCCAATCAGTGTTCATTTGAAGTCTTAGCCAAAAATATCAAGGAAGCGAAACGTCACATGCGGAGGCTCTGATTGGTTGGCTGCTACACTGATACTATGTTTAGTAGCATTCCGGAATCTTCTAGCAACCCAAGGACATTTAAAATATAATAAAAACCCTATATTTTCTGTATTAAAATGAACCTTGGAGTAAACTGCTTCTCGCATACTTTGAGTCTTCTCTCTTGTGTTCGGATCACTGTACAATTGTAGCTTGGGGGTTACAGAATAGCTTAGGAGACGAATATAGCGTTCAGTCCGCATGACTTATCAGAAATGAAGGATAACTAATGAGCTGATTTGTTATTTTTTTGTACTAAGACCTGAGAAGATTTGTAGTCCAGATGGATGGTTGCTTTTAGTTGTGATTACGTTTAAACTCGTATATTGTCATTCTGGACAACATAATCAGCGTTTACTTCATGTAAATATGAGCTGTATAATTAATTCATAAACGCCAAACCAACCTGTTTTGAGTGGTTGCTCTCCGATGTTTGATTAGTTTTTTTTTGTTTACTTCTCTCCCAGTTTTTTCTGTTGACTACTGATCAGGTGATTGATTTATCATTTTCTTATAGGTTGGTATATTTGGCAAACGTTTATAAGCTTACTGATTACAAGTTGACCTGAGTTCTATGCTTTCAGAAATTCTCTGTAATCGTCTGAATTTTCTCGATTTATAACTTTGAAGCTTTCTCAATCCAATTCGTTTTTGTGGACATCGAAATGCGCTGATACGTGTGATATATAGTTATACCGCTAGTTGATAGATATGTATAGGTAGATGGAGAAGAGATCCACTTTGTTCAAGGTAGTATTTATCGCACTTGGAGCATGATAGTGCATTTGTCTTTTTTCGCTGCTGTGTTTTGGTCATCACAAAACGTAAAAGTTTCTGTTAACTTGTGAGCAACTTTGAATTTTAAAGGTTTTTAAAAATCCTTATGATGATTTTTTGGAAATTTCTCATATAAGAGAATCATTTGTTTTCATGGAGATAATTTTGTGTAGTTTTGTCGACTTTCTGAACACTTTTTGACAAAGTTGTGAGCATGGCACTTTTCTTTTTACTCAGGACGGACATGAAGGCTGCAGTGAGTTTTAGAGATATGTAGTACACATCTCCCAACCATCTCAGTCGATAAACATCTGATGAAGTTTTGTCGAATGATTTGTATTCTTTACCTAGGACCCTACAACTAACATATATACACATGTAACGCATCGAAGATATTCGTGATTGAATACTAGTAGCACATCCATACGCTTTTACCTCAAGAGAAAATGTTTTATCGAAGCAAACAGGTAGAACTGTTGAAGAGTATACTAATCCAGTGATAAGTAGACAGATATTTTGTCTACAATACTGCGGCATTATGGTAGAATTTTTACTGGTTCCAGCAAAAAAACTTATCAGTATGAGGTTGTGGAGATCATTAAGTTATTGATTGAGATCATAAACCGATTGATGTTAGACCACCATTGAAAACCTGGAAGCACTGAACGGCTATTTTGTCCTATTGTGGGAGGTTAGACATTAACACTGTTGGATTCCAACTTAGTGGTCTAGTAGGTTGAGCGTTCGCGTACGAGACCTAAGGCCCTGTGTTCGAATCCCGCGAGCGGGATCGTGGGTGCGCACTACTGAGGAATCCCACAATAGGACGAAACGGTCATCCAGTGCTTCCAGGTTTTAAATGTCGGTCCCACATCAATCGGTTCATGATCTCAATAAAAAAACTTATTTATCGTTAAAAACCATTAAATGAATGATTAAATCACAACGTCAATCAAATAAAATAACATTCAATTATAATTAAACTAACGTTAAGCTAATCTTTTTGAGTCCACCATATGGACAGATACAATCAATAATTTGAGATAACAACGAATTATCAATAGAATCAAAACCAATAGAATGTTTCAATAATGGATCATTCATAGAACCCAAAAGAAGATAAATTAGTTGTGTACCATGATCTGGTTGTATTTGTGATAAATTGGCAAATATATTAGCACCTAAAGTGCTGTCAAGAAATAATTTCCCATTTAATAAACAACCAATAAAACGTTTCGATAGATTCATACCAGTATTAGATAAGATTTTTGAATATAATGAAGTATTTTTAAATGATAAACTAATATGTAGATGATCAACCTGAAAAAACAAGTGAACAAAATGTTGAAAAGAGCAAGAATAATGTTATCGAAACTGTTAGGAGACAACTTATTGAATTAATTGTGGAAAAAGCTAAGACAATGATCGGGATATACTAATTTTTTAATAGGTTCATCAATGTATTTTTCAAACTGCCTGATTTGGAAAAAACAATACGAGGCTTTTTCATGGTCTGTTGCTACCTTGACGTGGTGGTCGCGCTTGCCTATCGTGATGAACCAATCCAGCTATACTGGCTAGAACAATCGTTACTCAAGATCGTACTATGACAGACAGGTCGGTTGAAGAACGGTAAGACTGAAAGCAACAAACCCAAGTTCCGAGGACGAAGCCGTGCAGCTGAATGTACACAGGTGTGACGACAATAAGGTGTTCCCTTCAGACAACTAAGAATAGCAGTGATGCTGCCCTCCCACAAGGAGGGGTTGGGTTAGAAAAGGTCGACCCTAAATATGCACATCTCGCCTTATTCAACAGATATTCGTCTCCAGTGGTTAGGTCTCAACAAGTAACAGAGCTGACACGAAAATCACTCACAAACAGGTCGTGTGTGACCGGTCTCAAGTTATTATGCCTTGAGCACTGCGGTCAGGCCCTCAGGTCATCAATAAGACCACCCTTAATCCAATTTCTTTTTCAGGTACATCCAGAAGAGCCGTTCCACGGTGTGGACAACCGGGAAGTGATAACCGCCCTCATATTTCTAACAGTACTCAAGACTGACTGACTGATGGTCTGACTGATCAAGTTAAAAATTTGTTACCTTTGTTAATAGTTTAAAGACTACTCTTAACTATATAGATACGCTGTAACAGATGTTACCTTGGGAATGAAGTCTATTCAATATTTTCCATAATATAATTTTACTGGCGGCTTAAGTTTTGAAAATTTTAATAATCTGGAAATGAACTAATAAGTTGGTAACTCACGTATTAAACGTACAGAGATTAGCCAGTGTAGAAGTGAATGGTAGTTAAACCAAAATAATGAGATCAGTTGACAGTTAGTCTAAGCCTAACTAGTACACATATATTACTTGGTTGGAGTCAACAACAAAACTGTGGTTGAAGACTCGACACAATATATAGCTCAGAATCATTTACAATGGCGAAGATATATTCACTTTTTATTATCCTCACGAACCTGAATTCCTCTATACGAAATTTTCAATTCAATCTTTTTTAACTATACTCCTAATATTTAGTCTTTCTTATTATCATAGTCACTAGATTACTTCAATCTCTTTTGCTATTGACCTTGTTAATCTCATTTCATCACGTTCATGTGTTAAGGCAAATTTTCCGATGCCGAAGTGAATGAGAAAGCTTTAAGTGGTGAAAAAAAGTTACTTAATGAACTTATGTCAATAAGATGGATATAGTCACCGGTTGAAGTAAAATATAATCAGAAAGAGTGAATATAAAATTCCTGCCTTCGCCAAAGCCCTAAAAACTAGTATTGAAGATCTCATATGAAATATCCTTCAAAATACATTACTATAGACAAAAGGGATAAAGTATTATTATTAAAATTAAGAATAAACTAATCACTGGTTGAATGGTAATAAATTTATCATCAGTGTCCAAAGCTTACGATTCCATTGTATAAATTCTCGTCAAAAAATAGAACACTGATCAATATGTTCAAGGAAATTTGAAACCTAGAAGTTTGGATACAAAGTTTATCAGTTTAAACTTAGACACAAATAAATCACCACACATAGTCCGTCCAATGAATACGAAAACTGAACGTCAGCAAAAAAACATGGCCTAGTTTAACAACCGACCGTAGCTGCTACTTTGACATGATGGTCTGGTTTGCCTATCATGATGACTCAACCGAACTATACTGGCTGCTCCTTTAGCTTCTATCAAGCCAGGCAGGTCAGTTGAAGAAATGTAAGACTAAAAGCAGCAACCTAAGGTCCGAGAGCAAAGCCGTACTGCTGGCTAAAGAGAGGTGTGACATTAGTAGGGTGTTTACCTCGGACAACCAGCAAGTGCAACAACGTATTTTTTTTTCTCACAACGGAAGGGAGGGGTTAGAAAAAATCGACCTGAAAACTGTCACACCTCATTTCACTTCATGAATTCCAGTCTACCGCAGTTAGGCTTTTTGAAGTATGGAGCTAACACATCAAAAACTTACCATAAAAAGGTCGTGCGCGACCGACCTCAAGTAGTTGTCGCTTTACTTCTGTAGTCACGCTCCCAGTTCATTGAGAGAACCACTAATTCAATTTCGTTTTCAGGTCTCTCAATAAGAAATATCCTTCCACAGTGCGAGCGATCAGAAAGTAACATTCGCCCTAATACTTCTTACCAGAACCCGAGATCGTCGTGATTGAATTAAAAACCCACTTAGTTGAGTAACGTTGATCATCACACCTTATCTTTTTTTTCAGACACTAATCGATTATATTTGTTTTATGTTGATGTAAGACTGCTATATTATGACAGTTCGCTTAAACATTTATCAGAGACTGTCTGGGTACGTGACATTCAATCAATTACACCCCCCCCCCCACGGAATCGTTCATTTAAGTTAATAGATATAGCCTCTAAAGAATTGCATTTTGCACAGTGATCACCCAAAGACTACAATTAGGCAGACATAAAATGACGACGAGACATCTAAAGAACTGGAAGTTTACGAACTTATACAGATTTACCATTGATTGGTTGCTAAGTGGTAACTTATGTTATATTTGTCGAGTTATTCAGTATTAGTCGGATTTTATCTATTAAATTACAATGTAGTTACCAACCTAAGTGTTTCAAAAACGCATGAATTACATTTTAATGTTAAATGATCGACGGCAGTTAACGGGAAACCACCTCCTAACATTTCTATCGGTAATTCAAGCAATTAGAACGGAAGTAAGGCAAATCCATCATAAAAATGAAGAGCATTTTAAAGAGTGAAAGATTGATGTACCTTGAATTTTGTAAATTACAGTTCTTATGACCGCATTCTATAATGTTTATTGTATGGAGTACATAGATTACTAAATATAATGGTGCATGATACAGTGGGACAAACAGTGTAGAAGTATGACTTTTTGAGTTACCATAAGGAGGACGATTATTTGTATTGTTATTGTATAATAAGTGTACGTGTGTAATGTTTTATTTCCATATTTTCCTATTTCTAAGCTCTCGTTTGACCGAAAATTGTTGTCGAATATCTTATTGACAGATAATTCCCATTTAAACATTAAAATTAAAACACAAATTTCAGCGAAGGGATCTCTTTTCAACGAATTTATTATCAAGCTGTACAATCGTATATATATGAAAATTTTGTTTTTGTAAAAGTACTAATTCCGTGAGGAAATGTGAACACAGTTAATATAAAGGTTATAATACTAGATTACGTAATATGAAAAGTCGAACTAGATCGCAACATATCTCTAAGAAGTCACGCATTGTTTGAATTGTCGTTAGATGAACGTAAACAATTTGAGGACTATGTTACTAATGTTACAGAAAAACAGTCACAAAAAGCTAAACGTAAACACTTGGAAACATTGCAACACGTAGACGTGACTAAAAGTTTCCAGAACATCCAGAAAAGTATGTATTTAATCATTCTTCTATTAAACTTTCGCCAGTCCAAATGCAGGCCTTATCATTGGGTCCCAAGTTCTGTAACAGCACCTCCAAAACCAGTAGACTTCATACACAAATACAATTCGAAAATCTATCAAATCAAACTCATGATCTTATGCCGACATCTCCACAAAATCTCCAGCACTTTAAGTCCACATTACTGGACTGCAGTCATGGATTCGTTAATGCACATTGTAGTAAGAATAACCCATTAACTAAGAACCACTTGAATCAGCTAATACTGTTGAAAAGAAATAAGGATTTAATCCTAAGTAAACCTGACAAAGGAGCTGGTGTAGTACTACTTGACCGCAAAGAATATTTGGATAAAATGAAGTTAATTCTAGAGGATGGTACTAAATTCTCCAAACCTAAAGAAGTTGATAAAACATTACAAATCGAAAAACAGCTAACAGATGTTGTTAAAAATCTTAAGAATAAGGGGATAATAACCCAAGATTTATATAATCACATGCGTCCCATGGGTTCAGTCATCCCGCGCTTATATGGACTACCGAAAATACATAAGCCGGGTTTACCGTTACGACCTATTTTGGACATGTCAAGTTCTCCATACCACAGAATCGCCAAATGGTTAGCGGAAAAATTGGAACCGGTTAGAAGGCAAGTATGTAAACATTCTATTCATGATACTTTTCAATTTATTGATCGTATTAAGGACGTTAATGCTTCCGAAAAACACATGTTCTCGCTTGACGTTAATTCTTTGTTCACTAGCGTACCTTTAACCGAAACAATATGTTATATATGTGAGTATATTGATTCTAACAATATAGATCTAGGTTTGCCAACTGAACACTTGAAAGAATTATTGTTACGCTGTACTTTTAATGTCCAGTTCAGTTTCAATAATGAAATATATAGACAAAGGGATGGGATCGCAATGGGGTCTCCATTGGGTCCAATTTTAGCAGACTGTTTCATGGCAAAAGTAGAAAACGACCAACTGCGTTCAATGATCAATCGATTCCACCTGTACGTGAGATACATGGACGACACGTTTGTTGTTTGTGACAATAATATTGATTTAGATGATATTCTACATACCTTTAACTCGTGCTACCCTTCCATAGACTTCACGTTAGAAAGGGAACAAGACCAATCAATTCCTTTTCTCGATGTACGTCTGATGAGAACGAGTAATGGTTCTTTAAAAAGATCCATCTTCAGAAAACAAACATGGAATGGCCAGCTAACAAACTTCTATAGCTGAGTTCCGTTAAGTAGGAAGAGAAACCTTATCCATTCTTTATGCCATCGCATACATCACATATGCAGTACGGAATGCATTAACGAAGAACTCGCATTCCTGAAGAAGACTTTGACGGAAAATGGTTACCCAGAACGGTTCATAGAAAAGAATATGAATAAAAGCAGTCGCGAGAAGAATTCTAGTTGTTCCGTTCCAAAGAAAAACCTTTATATAAGTCTGGAATTTAAAGGTGACCGAACATCGGACGTAATCAAAAACCGTCTAACAACAACTATTAGAAGAACATTTAACGCGGCAAAACTGCGAATATCCTTCACTAGTAGAAACTTATTTTCTGTATCCATAAAAGATAAGCTCCCGCGTCTGGTCGCCTCCATGTGCATCTACCAGTTCACCTGCTCTTGTGGAGCAAGGTACATTGGCCGTAGCCAGCGCTCGCTTTCAACTCGGATACGAGAACATATCCCAGCCTGGTTCTATAAGGGTGAAAGGAAAGCAGTTAGGAGTTCTATTCTTGAACACCTAATCGACTATAACCATTCAACAGATCCACAAATTGATTTTAAGGTTGTTTATATGATTCGTTCAAATCTACCCAGATTTCTTCGTATACAACTTTTAAAAATAGCCGAAGCTCTTGCCATCCAGGAGCTTAAACCAGAACTATGCGTACAAAAGAAGTACGTCTTATCGTTATCGTTACCTTGGCCTTAATTATTTTGATTATCTTACTATTAATGTTATTATTATTATTATTATTATTATTATTATTACTGCATTCCCCCCTTTACTTATGTCTTATATTCTCATTGTTTTATTCATGAACGCTCATCATATCAGTTTATTTTTGTACACCTCTATGACCTTTAATTATTATAACAAAAACATTTTAATCATCTTATTATAATCACTAAATCTATTGTTATTGTTATTATTCATATTACGTAATCTTGTATTATTATAACCCTTTTTTTATTAACTGTGTTCACATTTCCTCACGGAATTAGTACTTTTACAAAAAACAAAATTTTCATATATATACGATTGTACAGCTTGATAATAAATTCGTTGAAAAGAGATCCCTTCGCTGGAATATCTTATTGTTCAAGATTTACGATCAATTAACTTTTCCCTCATTACTCCGGGTTTTTTTATCGTTTATGACTAAAGTGAAGTACACATTGTAATTCCTAAATTGTGTTACTGTGAAGCCAGATATGTCAGGTATATTATTATATGGGTTTTATATCATAGTTGAATTGAATACAATAGAGAACTGATCTGCTTTCTATCCACGTCTTCTGATTGGCCACTAAATCAGAAGGATTTCGAAGAGCAACAGAAGTTAAGGTCTTGCTTGCTATCTATTGAAGGATGTGTGTCAATATATAATGCAAATGCTTTTATGTCGTCACATCCAGATCACACAGTACCACCTAATAGAGTCCAAGTAAGAAATCTTTCTTTTCCCGACATAACAGCAAATATAATTTAACAAATTTTATGATATAAAACCTTACCAGAAAAGCATTAATCTCTTTTGATTCCAAAATTCCATTCACTATAGTTTGATCGATTGAATTTTCTGACGTATTAGTATGATAAGTGATAGTATTTGATGAAGAATGAATTGTTGAACACCACCATAATAGAATTAAACGCATTAAACCCTTTAAAAACATATCTAATGCACGACATGGTATCATAAAGGAATCAGTTTTAAAACTGGTAGTTGGATTAGAATAATAATTATTAGGATTAACTTGATGATGATAATGATGTTTGATGGATAATTCACTGACATGATCAATGACCTGTGTATACAAGATAAGAAATTTTTAAAAAATGACAATTTAGTAAACATTTGAAATACAATGAAACAGTCTTTCTTTTTCTTGTAGTGATTTTGCTAATGTGAACAATGATGAATTTGCTCATTTAATGAATGTACATACTCTAACGATTAATTACCAACGTAAAATTTCTGTCTGCTTCTAAACTAGCTAATTAAGAACGCCATATCAACTAATTAAGTACTCTCTGTCTTTCCTTAAACTAAGAGATTAAAATCACTTCATATCTTTCTTTCTACGAACTAATTCTATCTTCCTGCACTATATCCCTATTGCAATCCATCTTTTATAGATTACCACAACTGAATTAACTGCTTTTATGAATCCAGTATTCATCTTGTTGTGTTAATGAGGCATGGCAACTTGGACCGATGCATATATGTGTCTGGTCCTACGTTGTAGCTGACTGACTGACTGATTAATTAAGTACATTATATTTTTGGTGACCCATTAGACTCACGTGATTTATGTACATATCATACAATGAAGTAATCTAGTTATTAGATCTTAATGTGTACATAACTAAGAAATATGTGATACAAAACTGAGTAACACGTTTATGATTAGGTATTTATAATTTAAAAATGACACGAAAGAATTTTGTGCTCATGAATGTCGTTCAGAAGAACGATGAAAGCTTCACGACCAAAACATCCAGCTCAGAGAACAAAATTGCAGCAAAAACGTCACAAAAATTAATGAGCCAAATGAAAGTAAACAATTAAGATAATATAAGAATGTCCACTATTTATTATACGATATATAGAAAAAATATATAAAACTGATTGTTCAAAAAACAGTTTCCAAGATTTCACAATTTCATTTTCTTAAGCACATTCATCTAACACTTGTAAACTATTAGCTGAATGGTTTTTTGATATCCTAATCTAGAGATGTGAATGGTTTGTTGATGGGATGATGAAAACAAATTTGGTGGAAAAAAACAAGTCAACTAGAAGTTCCTGTATAATCAACTCTGGGTTAAACACTATTAGACAGATTAAATCGATTTCAATGAAAAATGAAACCTATGATTTAAGCACTTGAAACATTTTCTAGGTTCTGAGAAAGATGAAGACATTCTCATTGATAATTATTGGTATAAAAGCAAATTACAGTGAAATGTTGAGTTAGTTAGATTGATACAATACAAATTCTAGACAGATAGAATCTGATTAGTACGAATTCGACTTAAAAGCGTGACATTAATCAATATCTAACGCTATAAACACTCAATAACCCCGCGGACGAGTTCGCCGAAGATGAATAAAAGCTGAAAATACTTCGTTCAATCAATGTTCGAAAGCATCTTCCTAGAGAAATCAAGAAAACGATGAAGTGCATTAACTATTCTGATCGGATAACTAAAAATTTTGTTGTCAATCTCAGTATATTTCCAAAATACTCCGGGAAATTAGAACCATACGTAACACTAAATACGTTATTGTTTTCTGCTTCTGAATTAATCTTGGATATAAGGTTCTTTTCATAAATCTTCCTCGATTTTGTTCTTCCGTTTGGAGCTCAAGTGTAGGAGATTTATAGGGAAATAAGAACCAATTGTAGAAAGTATTAGGAGTTTCAGTATCACATATATATCACACAGAAATCAATTACTATTAATATCTCATTCCTACAATATGAGATCAATCGCTGTGTACACGGGTGAATCGAAATACCAGTCAGTAGTTCATTTGTTTTAAGTTAAACGGTTCCTATATACGAGGCAACACCTAAGCATGCAAAATTCATATCTTTCTATAATATGCTTTCTCATAAAGGATCTTGAAATAGTGTAGGAACTACAAAATCCAACAATCTTTGAAATTCACTGATGTTAATTAAAATTAGTGAATCTCTTCACTATAATCATTGAGAAAAAAAAAACAACAACAACAGAAAAACAAAAATGAACTAACCGGTAGACTGAACAAATCAAGAAGTAAACCATGTACAGTTCCTTCACGACAATAATACTGTACTGATGATGATGATGATGATGTAAGCTGATCCAACAGAAAAGAAGTAGAAGTAAATACTGATTTTGTTGAAAATGGAGACATTTTTAAACTACTTCCAGTATATCTTGCATTTAGACAATTTAAACTATGCGCCATTATACGAAAGATTGGATCGAATGAAACATTATTTCCATCAACATTATTTTTACTAGCATTCCATTGTTTCCAATTCATTTCATGAATTAGACGAGCATGTATAGGTTTAGACCAGGCAAATAAATAAAGTTTATTGCTTTGATGATTAGTAGTATCATCATTGTTATCATCCTCAACATCATTCGTCGAAGTGGAGGTCAGTGTAACAATCTAATAAGCAAATAAAATAAATAAACAATTAATTCAGTTTTTATTACTGACATATACAACTGTAATTACTGTATAAATTACAACTGATGAATAAGTGTGATATTTATGATTTTAGAATATTAAAGATTCCCATTGTGAAAATTAGAACAACACATATAAGCGAACAATTATTTTCAATTAGATCGTCATCATGTATATTAGAGTAAAGCCTGATGACGATCTAATTGAAAACAGTTGTTCGCTTATATGTGTTGTTCTAATATTTATGATTATCTTTATTGTTGTCATTCTTAAAGGTTGTTTTTTTTTTGTTGGTTTTCTGTTGTTTAGTATTCAGGATTGAATTTCTTGAGTCTCTATTGGTAAATTAAATCTTTGAGTGTAAGTTCCCATTATTGACTGTACATATACATTTTTGGTAATTTTCATAAATATGATTAGCAGTGGAATTAAGAATGTGCGTTTTATCTTATTTTGGGACTCATCAACTTGATCTAATTACATTCTAATGTTGATGTTCATATTACAAGTTGATCACAGTACCAATAGCTAACACTGGACCCATTAGCTTAATGTATGCCGTGATGGTACTCGAGGCGATAGGTACTGTGTTCAAGTGTCAGTGTGAACATTAACATAATGGATAAATATACATCTGGTTAACGTAATATCTCTAATGTCCATCACATTATTGTGAAATAAAATCTTATTTGGTGGTAAGAAAACATGTAGGTGATTTCTAAATTCCAGCCTACTACAACTAACTGACAGAAAAGTAGTTAAAATGGTACTAAATACTGAACTTTGTGACGTAATTCTGTGATTAGAACAAATACATGAATCAGTGAACTATTTTCCAGTGTATAATTCAAACTGACTGTATTCATTCACTGTACTACTGTTGACCAAAGACGGGTTTACTGTGCAACAGCTCGTTCGTCCTACTTTATGGCAGTGAAACGTGGCCGGTAAGAGTGAGGGATATTCGTAGGCTACTAGTATTTGATCATAGATGTCTTTGAAATATTGCTCGTATATTCTGGGACCATCAAGTAAATAACGCAGTTGTTAGGAAACGAGTACTAGGTAAAGATGGCAAATCCATTGATGAAGTGATGAAACTTCATCAGTTGAGATGGCTAGGACACGTGTTATGTATGCCCAACCACCGACTTCCCCGACATGCGATGTTTTCTGGTGTAGGAGTAGGTTGGAAGAAAGCTAGGGGCGACCACACCAAAACATGGCACAAATCCATGAAGTCACTGACAAGTGGACTGAGTCATGTTGGTAGGTGTAGACTACCTGGTTGGGATCCGAAAGACGATAGCAACCTATGGTTAGAGACCTTGAATGACATGGCTCAATGGCACAGGTGCATCTACTCTTTGTGTTCTCTTAGATTATAACCCTCTGAATTCTTCATGTCACATTCTTTTTTCTCTTTCTAAATTTATTTCACTGTACTATACTCCTTCAATAACATCTTCAAGCCTCAATCTTTCCGATTACTGCTTATACTCTTACCGCCTCTACCACTATGGGATTTGAATCGACAACTGCATCTCTGTGCTAATGTGGTGTGGCAACTCGAACTGATGTATGTACGTACGAAGTTCTACGTTGTTACTGACTGACTGATTACTATTGAACAAAAGTGACTTAATTACGATACTAAGATTTACAGATGAGTTAATAAAGTTGAAATACCTGAACGATGTGTATATCTTAAAGAATCTAAATCTTCAAAATACAGCTTAAATGTATACTTAACATTAAACTATTTTCAAGTATTATTTAGAATTATCAATTTTTTCAATGATTAATTAACCAATTGACATGATTTATAAGAACAACGATGATAACCCACTGATACATTAAAATGAAAAATGAGAATGTTTTAGCGAAGAGAATTTTCTTTTTGGTGATATGATTTTCTTGAGTAGTACAATTGTATTGCTATGTAATTGTTTATATGTAGTGTAGTCCGTCTATAGTAAAAATAGGGTAGTGTTACAAAACTTATTCGAATATTCTTAATTTATACATATATATATTGGTTGTTGATGATGAAATATAGAGTCACTGAACATCCTCAACTCAGAACGTCCAAGATTCTCAAGTATAGAGCAGAACTATTATAATTGATTTATTGTGAATCCAACCCTCTACCGTCAAACTAGCATTATAACAGAGTCAAAGATGGGTTAGATTATTATTAGTCACTCTGACTTTCATTGTGTGTAAATTAATTTCATCTGCTATGTTAACATGTAACAAATTTAAGTCGATACAAAATAAATACTAGGATCAACGCACTACTAATACAACAAGAATATCATTTTACGGTGCGTGCTACTTATATTGACAAAAGTAGTATATAACGCAAGTCAGGAATGTCATTTCTGGCAGTAGAAAATTGGGAAGATCAAGAAAGGAAGAGCGGGAATAGAAAGCAATTAGTATGAAAATGCAATAACAATGAAGTTCGAGACAATTATTGAACATTTTGCAAATTAAGCATTATAGTATAGTTTTTTCTATTTTACCAAGTAACTCTATAATTATCTGATAGATATATATTTCGGTTTCAAAAGAACGGCTACCCAATCAACTTCATCAAAAAATACCAATCGCACACAGCATCAGAACCTAAGTCAAGCAAAAGGATCGCCCTACCATACACAAAAGGCATATCAGAAACCGCAACGAAACTGCTGAAAACCTTCGGGATAGGTGTGGCACGCTAAACCGACAAAATCAATCCTATGCAAACCAAAGGATGAAATAACAAAGGAAGACGAATCAAACATCATCTATAAAATGAATTGTGCCAACTGCGAAAACCACTACATCAGACAAAGCGGACTCACCCTACACCTTCGTCTACATGAACATCAATTAGCAGTCAAACGTCATGATACTTCCTCACTTTTATCAATACACGTGAGAAACTGCGGACACTCATTCGATTGGAAAAATGTAGAAATCTTGGACAAATAACATTCCAAAAACACTAGAGAATTTTTAGAAGCCTGGCATTCAGGTCAATCAGCCATCAACAAACACATTGATATCGATCCAATTTATCAACCAATCAGGAAAATCATGCACAAATATATGAACAAAAATCAAACCAATGGGAGACACAACCAAAACAAAGTAAACAATGACAAATTTATGGTCAATAGGAAACAGTCAACGTCGAGGTGTACAGAACAAGCTGTGAAACGCATATGGAGGAATTCGAACACTTCACTTCTATCTGAAGTTTGTGCTGATGATGTCGTTCAGAAGAACGATGAAAGATCCATGACCAAACCATCCAGCTCAGAGAACAAAACTCCATCAAAATGATTCGGTTGTCCTCACCTGTGTTCTCCTTCACTACAATTTCGATATCCTTCTTTTGATGCAAACATAAATCATAAAAAAGTTTTCCATGAAATTTCGAAGGAAAAAATAAGAGAATTCTTTAAAAATCTACGATCGACTTACAGTCAGTCAGCTACAACGTAGGAACTAGGCACATATATATGCATCGGTCCAAATTGTCATACCTCATTACCACAACAAGGTGAACGTCTGATTCATAGAAGTAGTTAATTCAATAGTAGTAATATATATATATATAAAAGAAAGATTGTATATAAAGATACAGGGAAGAAAGAATTAGTTGGTAGAACTTACATCACATGGTTTATGCCATTGTCCAAATGAATCTAATATAATTGGATATTGTTTAATATAATTTAATTGAGTACTTTTATTCAATTCAATATCAATATTTACCAAATTATTGATAGTTTGATTTGTTTTTTGTTTATTATCATTTATTGATTTCTTATTTTGATAAATATTGATTTCAGTTCTATTATGTAATCGATATTCAGTGAAATATTCTTCATATAAACAATAATCTAATAATGAATACCAATGTGATAATTTTTTATTAAATTCATATAATGATTTATTATATATTGAATATGTTCTATAATCTGTATTATCATTATTATTATGATTCATTATTGGTAGATTTGGACGTAAAGCGAGAATTTCATCAATTGTTGAAGTAGATGGTAACTTTAAGAAGAAGAAAAAGAAAAAGAATAAAATTATAATATCAGATGAATTTTCTGGATATTATAGTAATTTCAATGGTTAAGATCATGAGTCAGTTGAAGCTAGACCACCATGGAAAACCTGGAAGCACTGGACGGCCATCTCGTCCTATTGTGGGACTCCTCAACAGTGGGCATTCACGACCTCGCCCCCTACGAGATTCGAACCCAGGACCTACTGGTTTCAACCAGGTCTATTGTGAGATAGTAACTCACTGAAGACAATGGTGGATGTGTCGCTCAATTTCGTAGATTAGTTGAAGTTAGATCGGAACAAGTGGTTTTCTTAGAGGGTCACACCCAGAGCCTTTGACCTAAAGGTCTAATCCACAAGGTAGTGGAGCGATGTCAGGAGATGAAGTCCCATGGTAGCCAGTGATCAACAATAGGTTCATACACCATTTGTTCTTTCAGGATACTGGAGCTCATGTGCACCATTGGTTTAAAATGAGGGTTTTTCAACTCCCTTAGGTGGACCCTCCGTGTCCACCAACCCGGTTAAAGCGCCGGACATTCGCTTTCTGTCCTTTCGATTTCGTAAACAACACACCCGCCACGAGAGTCAGTCAGTTAGCTACAACGTAGGATCAGGCACATATGTGCATGTGTCCAAGTTGCCATATCTCATTAGCACAACAAGATGGACACCGGATTCATAGTAGTTAACTGCCTCAAGAACGCAGTGAGTAACACTTCCCTGTCGGATGTTGTATGCACGTGGCCATGCGAGAGCATTTCGAGAAGGAGAGTTGAATCTCTCCACTCTCGGCCGTACCAGGGCATTTGAGGGTATAAAATTCCAATATAAACCACCTTCAGTGTTCTTCAATGTGTTCGACGTACTATCATAGTCCATGTGATGGACTTAACGAATCATCTATTTGATAGCTAATTATAAATTCATGAAGTTGAAACTCAAGCACATACATAATACCCTTATCTGTGCTGTTTTCTTCTCAACTAACATAACGCATATGTTGAACGGAGAATAGTGTTTAACCTTTTAAGATAAAATTTTTGTCAGTCGGTCACTAACTTTCACATTACAAAATGATACTAAAGGTTTACTATGTTAATTTATAGTCTTTGGTCATGGAATCTTACAATTCACACAAGAAATACAAATTATCCTTATCATTAACAATAAAAACAACTTACACCAAGTTTTTCAATGAAAAATTGACGAGATTCTGAACCATAACATTTCGATAAAACAAATACACGTGGTCGATTTATAGTTTTTACAGGAATGAGTGGTTGTTCATTCCCATCAGACATAATACAGTTGACCAGTATGCATTGATCATTGAAATATTCAACAGTATCTTCTTCCTCATCTTCTGTGTTATGCACAGAATTGTTACTTCCTAGATCACTGCTACAGTTATCATTTAAATATTTCGAGTTGAGTAAATGATTGTCAATAACAACAGATTCCCAACAAACAACATCAATATCAACCAAATGATATGCAGGTGTAGACTGGTCTACTTCATCACTGCTACCGCCACTAATGTCTATATCAACATTTGACCGTTGACGTCGTTTTCCTGGTATTGTTTTCATTGAAGTTGATGATTTCGACATCGCTTCGCAAACAGGACATTTATAAACGTTGCTTTCATAAAGATCAACATTATCAGTATTGACAGTAGTAGTATCACTACGTGGACGCTTATGCATAGGTTTTCGTGTTATCATCGTATTTGGACATTGAACTAAAATACATGGATAGGTAGGATTTGCAAATACCAACCGAAGCCAATCAATTAATGAATGCTCCGTACTTGAATCAATTGTCCGTGAATAATCACCAACGACATCATGAAGATAATATTGTACAGCAGTACGATATATAAATAACATAAGATCTGGTGTTAGGTGTACAGAATCAATAGAATTGTCTCTAACTTTTTCACCTAAACACTTCATTAAAGCCTGTAAAGAAGGGAGTAGGTGGGAAAAAGAATGAGAAAAAATAACACTCACTGGAAACAAAATATTATGAGAAATATTTTCACGTAAAATTTTATGTCAATTTCATGTAATCGATTAGTATCAGTCATTATCTTTAACGTTTAAGATTGTTTTACAATTTAACTAGCCCGAATTGGTCAGCTTGGATGGAACTAGACGATTTGGACTTCGCAAATCACCTAATCCCTCAATCCCATAAACATCAACGAATGCAGGTCAACACAACCAATGTAGCAGCAGCAGCAACATATGCATCAGTAGACCTTAACATTACACAAGGCAAAAAGCAACATCCTCAAATACAACACGGAGAACATCAACACAATCACACTTGATGGAAAAACTCTGGAGGATGTGGAAACATTCACGTACCATCATCAAAAGAGTAAATGCACTCATAAACAATTGTTTACATAAGATACTCAATGTCCGTTGATCGAATACCATCAGCGACAGCCTACTGTGGGAGAGAACAAACCAGCTTCCAGTTGAGGAGGCAATTAGGCAAATACGTTGGGAGTGGATAGAACATGCATTTCGTAAAACATTAAACTGCAACACGAAACAAACACTAACTTGGAATCCTGAAGAGAAACGTCCAAGGAGCACGCTGTGTCGGGAATCAGAAGCAGACAGGAAAAGGATGAATAGCAACTGGAAAGGATTGTCCAGGACATAGTTGGATGGAGAATACCGGTGAGAGGCCTATGCTCTTCCACAAGGGGTAACAGATGTAAGTTATTAAGTAATGTAACCTATCCTGGATTTAGTGTTGAACAGGGAACTTTTGTGTCAGAATGGAAGAAGCAACAGACGAACTTGTTGTACCAACTAGATAGCCTGTATCTGCAAACACAATTCAGTTCAACATCCATTTCGTGTAGTTACGTTAATTTCATATATTGGGTCATCCTGACGATGAAATCAGATGAAAATCGATTAATCGGTGTATCATTTATAATTTTAATCAATCCACGGTATTGAGCACTGTTATGACCTTGGATGTTTGGCTTTTCTATCACGCGACTTATCAACCAATCAGGATGCGGCTAATACAATCTTCGCACTATGTCAAACCAATGACGTTCAACCGGTATGAGCAGTTTAGCGTCCTTATTGGTCCTATGTCCTTTTGGCCCTTCCACTTGAGTCCAGAACACAATACCAGTTTCCGTAATATGAATCGAATCGAATCGAATCGGATCGAATCGTTTATTTCAGACACACTCGATTTATATATCAATCAGACAGACCACAACGTACCATAAAATAGAAAATAACATGTGTACACAAAGAAGCCAAAAAGTGGCTGTGAATGAGGGGAACAGTAACTAATAGACTGAGCATAGCTTAAGAACCGTGAATCGTACAATAATAAATTATAGGTCCAAATAAAGCTTATAATAAGAGGAATATAAATATACATAATGTAATTGTTGAATAGTTACACAATAAGAATATTTATAGAATATTAGTCTATTAACATCCCTCGGAAGTTACCTGTAACTTAATCTTCACTGGGATATAACAAGCACCTCTTTCCCGTTGTTTTCACTGAGTAACTTACAAAATTGAAGATACTGGGTCTAGTTCCTGATTGCTGGGTTGTAAATGAGTATTGTCAAAGAGTCATACACTAAAACGAAACGGCTGTCTGGTGCTTCCAGATTTTCAATGGTTAACTAAATTCGATCAATTCATCATCTTACAACATTATACTAATAACAACACTAGTAAAACAAATATCATTTCATAAATATACTTTATCATAAACGAACAACAATTACAAATTTACTTCAAATGTTGAACGATCAGGTTGATTAATAAGACCAATAGATTTTGTAAATTGACTATTCAATGGATTATTAACAATATATGATCCAGGTGACCAAATATAACAAGTATCTTTAAGAAGTTTAAATAATTGAATATTTTGTAATTGTATTTGATAAAATGCTGAAGGAGAATAAATCATTCGTGAATCAATAGGACACATAAGTTGACAGGATGATGTAGTTAATGTAGTTGATTCAATTGGTAACCAAGCAGTTTCACGCAGTTTATATAACCAAGATGAATAATCTAAATAATGTAATGTATCATTAGTAGTAATAGTAGTATAAGTAGTAGGTAATCCATCATTTGTGCTTGAATCCAATTTATCCAATGAATCATTTTGAGTTTTTATACGAGTGAATAATGCAGATTGAACTCTTTGAAAAAAAAATTAAAGCAAAAAGATAAGTGTATTACAAAATTTCCTAAATTAAATTTAACAAACTATACACTCATGATAATTAGATAAATGAATTGACTCGATTAATTTCACACCTTTACTGGTGGTAATGAATAAATGTAACTGTGTCATAAATATGAACCAATGAATTTCAATTCAATGATCTGATCCTTGATATGAATTGTAAGTGACCACAACTACAAAGGAACTGCAAGCTTGAATATCAAGTATCCGCTGATCAATCAAATATAAGCAACGTAGAACTAGGTACATATCTGTAACACTTGTGAACTCTTATGCCGAATCAGACTACCAAGATCAAATTATCAAGAGAAATGCCAGAATACTAGAAGTACTAAGAGTACAACTAGTAATAAAGAGATTAGTAATTGAGAATATAATTTGAGAAGAGAGAATAAATCCTCGGAAAAAATTGTGTCCGGAGGCTCCCAAATGCCTTAATACGGCCCAGAGTGGGGAGAGTCCGCTCTCCCTCTCCAAATGCTCTCTCACGACCACGCGTATATAGCCTCTGTCAGGGAAGTCCTAATCACTGCCTTCTCGTGGCACCGGTGTTGTTTACGAAAATGAGAGGATGAAAAGCGAATGTCCGGCGCTTCAACCGGATCACAAACCAATGGTGCACATGGGCTCCAGTATCCTGCGGGAACAATTGACGTATGAACCAATCGTTGGTCACCGGTTACCATCAGACTGCATCTCCTTGCGATGCTCCACTGCCTTGTGGGTCAGACCTTTAAGTCAAAGAGTCGGGGTGCGGCTCTCTAAGAAAACCACCTGCTTCCGTCTGGGCACCCGGGCAGTATCACAGCCCTCACACATATCAAATGATATCTGTATGGCGCATATGTATTTGGTGCCTCCTTGTACCAATATGTATGTGTTAAAATAACATAAAATAAAATGTCCGGAGAACGAGTAAAAAATGAATACGTTTGTGTTAGTGAGATCTATCCTAAAACATATCACACAACGTCTATGACCAATGATCATGATAATCGCACGAACTGCAATCAAATCGTCCGAAACTACTAGCACACTTTGCTTCAACAGTCGATGAATTCACGGACAAAGCCATATTTTTATTTGATCACCCTTAGCCTTCATTCAAACTACTCAAGTTTTGCTTCGACTATTTTTATAAGGAGTACTGATAATAACTCAGCTGCAAGGACATAAGTGTGTTTAAGAGTTGAAACATGAATTCCATATAGTACTGAACATATAATATTACATAAAGTTGTTATTATTATTGCCATTATGAGTTGTTGGTATTGTTGTAGCATTATTACAATCTATTGTATAATTTCATGAAGATTTGTTTAATTTAACAAATTATTTATTGCTAACTTTTGTCAGTAGGAGAACGAAACGAAAACTAGGGAAGTTATGAACAAGTTAATTGTCCTTTTACAACTAAGATTATTCAATCTAGATGCAAAACTTAAACGTAGTTATAAACACAAGTTCATGAAGTCACTGACAAGTGGACTGAGTCATGTCGGTAGGTGTACACTACCTGGTTGGGGACCACGAGCTGATAGCAACCGATGGTTAGAGACCTTGAATGACATGGCTCAAAATGGTTTGCAATGGCACAGGTGCATCCACTCTTTGTGCTCTCCCAAATTCTAATCTTCTGAATTCTTCATGTCCTTTATTTTCTTTGCGAGTTTATTTCACTGTACTATACTCCCTGAATAACATCTTCAAACCCTAATCTTTCCGAATACTGCTTATACTCTTACCACCTCTACCACTATGGGATTTGAATCGACAACTGCATCTCTGTGCTAATGTGGTGTGGCAACTCGAACTGATGTACGTACGTACGAAGTTCTACGTTGTGACTGACTGACTGACTAAACTTCTATTCAGGAGTACGATACTGTAAGAATGAACAAAATGTAAAAGTTATCAATTTGAACTAGAATGAGAAAGATATCCACTAACGTCCCCGACATAAATCCACTTATTTACAGTTTCCAATTCAGTGAATGTTAACTTGTCGCAAAATCTGTCTTCAAACTGTACAAATACCTACAACAAATAATTGAATAAACATGAAATAATAATTAAAATCAAATGACAGATGTTTGACAGAAGTTAGCAAGAAAAATCTGGATCTGGATCGTATGCTAGTTTCAATCACAGCTGTCCACATCTATAGGACTGAAATATTGAAATTGATTAATCAATGAGTCATGAATTTTGTTGACCAAGTTTGTAATATGTCAGGTTGGAAGTTGTTAACAAAAGACTCTCTTTGTACAGTATATCCAGTTTGATAACCATTAAGGGAAAGATAAACATGAAATTCACCACTAATGCTCAATGATCGATAGATATCACTATCAAATAGAACAACACAACCGCATGACGAATTCACTTACAAGTGCAATATTGAACATTTTTAGTTATAATCGGTGAAAAACAAACAAACAAGAAATTAGCTTACGGACTATATGAAGACCAATTATCATGTAGTAGACAGCTTAAACGTTCAGCCATCTCTTTCCCCATTAATTTATCTTGAAGTCGGGCAATACAGGTTAGAAGTAGATCAATACCAGGTGAAGTATAATCTTCAATCAAATATATAGTACTATTGTTACTTAATGGTGAATTCATGATTGACAATGTTAGACCTTGTTTGTGTAATGCTTCAATGATTGACTTTTGTAAACGATGATTTATTGGTAAAGATATTGCATCTTTTAATATACTTGATGATGTAACATCATGTTTAGAAGTTGTTACTGATGTTAAAGTTGTACCAGATACTTGATAAAAATATTTGATTTTGTGAACGGACAATAAAGTGCACACACCTAGTAAATGTAAACAAAAAAGGAAGGAGAAAAGGGACAAAACAATGTAACATAAAATTCAGCTATGCAAATTCAATTCTTGAAGTGTACACAATTTCTTAGTCAGAATAAAATTGTTATGACTTTTGTCCAGTTAATGTATCACGTGATATGATCGCAAATTAAACACCGACTTATACGAACTTGGCACTGTGCCAAACCAATGATGCTTTAACCATTACGCTCAGCCTAAAGTCAATTCTGAGTCCAGAACAATCTTAGCTTCCACTATATGAATAATATATTTTAGATATACTTAGTTTATATACAAATAAATCAAACCGCATAATACCATAAAATAGAAAATAACAATTATACAATATCAGATCAAAAGTGGCTGTGAGTGGAAAAGACTGTAGCTAATAAATTGGGTGTAAATTTAGAATAGTAAATAGTATAACAGTAGTCAATATGTAAGCATATGACATTTGCAGTTTTTTATTTGATGTTAACAGCAGAATAAATCAGTCGTTATGAACAAATATGATCCCATTACATAGAATTGTGGTTTTACGAGTAGAAACGACTGGAATACTTAATTCAAATTTTATTTTGAGTAACAACACAAAAGCGATACACATAAATCTGTTGTTGATGAAGCTCAAATTGAACGAAACATATGCAGATTTAAAAATTATGCTATTAATACTTTTTATCGAAATATAATTAGATAATAAGTGGTCTTGAGTGTTGTTAAAGGTATCAGAACAGTTATCACTTCCCGGTTGCTCACACCATGGAAGGCTTCTTCTGGAGGTACCTGAAAAGGAAATCGGATTAAGGATGGTCTTATTGACCTTAAAGCATGACCACAGTGCCCAAGGCATAATTACTTGAGACCGGTCACACACGACCTGTTTGTGAGTGATTTTCATGTTAGCTCTGTCACTTGTTGAGACCTAACCACTGGAGACGAATATCTGTTGAATAAGGCGAGATGTATATTTTTAGGGTTGACCTTTTCTAATCCCACCCCTCCTTGTGGGAGGGCAGCATCGCTGTTATGCTTGGTTGTCTGAAGAAAACACCTCAGTGCCGTCACACCTCTACACAGTCAGCTGTACGGCTTCGCCCACGGACCTTAGATTTACTGCTTTTAGTCTTACCGTTCTTTAACCGACCTGTCTGTCATAGTAAGACCTTGATTAACGATTGTTCTAGCCACTATCACCCGATTAGTTCATCACGATAGGCAAGCGCGACCCCCACGTCAAGGAAGTAACAACGGTCGGTCTTAGGAATATTGCTCGCATCTGCGGGGATCATCAGGTAAGTAATAATGAGGTTAGACACGAGGTATTAAGGAATGATGATAAATCAGTTGATGAGGTTGTGAATTTTCAACAACTAAAATGGTTGGGTCACGTGTGACGTATGCTTGACGCGCAATGCTCACTAGTATATGGGATGTTTGGAAGAAAGTTAGGGGCGGCAAAACCAAAACATGGCATCAGTGCTCGGAGTTACCAACTTCTTGTTGGTAGATGCAGACCACTTGGTTAGGGTTCGCGTGACTATCGTAACCAATGGTTGGAGACTCTTGGTGACATGGCTCACAGTAGATCACAATGGCGTAGGTGTATACACTCTCTCTGCCCTTTAACTATGAGATTAAAAGCGCTTTATATCTCTCTTTCTACGAACTAGTTCTTTCTTCTTGTACTATATCCTCATATGCAATCTTTCTTTTATATATTACTACTATTGAATTAATTACTTCTATGAATTTGGTGTTCATCTTATTGTGCTAATGAGGTGTGGCAACTTGGACCGATACACATATATCCCTGGTCTTATGTTGTAGTTGACTGATTGATTGAATTAGATAATAACAGTAAAAATAAATAAACAACTGAATAATTAAAAAGAAAATAAAAAAAGAAGTAAACTAACCAGCTTTTGAAAAGAGATCATACCATCGAGAAGCTTGTTGTGGATTCGTTGAAACACCTTGAAAATATTTTGGTGAAACAGTATACATACAATCAGAATCATTTATTTGTTCAATTAAAAATTTGAATAAATCAACTTCTAATTGTTCCATAAAATTTCGATCTATATTCACTGATGATGATGAAGATGAAGCGATAGTAATAGAAGTTGGAGGTAAAATAATTGGTTGATCACGTTGTAATCCATTTTCATAATAATCACATAATGCTGGTAGAATAGAATTTTCTCCAAATTTATTTGAAACAACAATTGGTAGAATAGTTGAAAATTCATTAATATTTTCTATTGGATAATAATGACTTTTATTGAAATGAATTGAAGTATATAATTGTGCTACGGTTATATACCAATTCATTTGTATCATTGATACATTCATAAAATTATCATTGGATTGTTTTACCTTTAAATATGGAATAATCCATTTTGTTAAAACAATAGAAGGATAAGCTATTTGTAAACCTAATCCAATTGGTGATTGATCAATTAATAAAGTGGAATAATCTTTATGATAATTAATTTGATTAGATTGAAAAGCATCTGGTTTAATTAATGGTCCTAATTTTTCGATTAATTGAATATAATCATCTATAAAAAGAAGAGAAAAAAATAATAAGTAAAGGAAAAAAATTATGGTGAAACTCATGAGACAATCAGAAGCGTTTGGGAGATTTCAAGGTTACGGCGCCGACTTCAGTGCTTAATGCTAACGTATAATCGGTTCATAGGGAATTTTGTACAAAACGTGATAACAAACAAAACAGTGAGACTATAATTTGTGGTATATGATAATAGACCTCGGATTCGGGTGCGAAGGCGTTTCATCTATTTGGCTAAATAGATTTCTGGCATTATAGCTTATGTCAGTTCGTGATGAAAACCCCATATATAATTCCTAACTAAGGCAAATTACGACAATTATTGCGAACTGGATAATAAAAGCACCAGTAACACTGGCTGCAGCCAAGTACTACAATATATACGGATGTTTGGAGAGCGTACAGACTCCTATATAGGATTGGTTATGTACATCGTGTCGTTATCCACAAGTAGCATTTTGTGTACTCAACAACCGGAGAGCACACAAACAATATTGAAGCTATGTGGTCAAGACTGAGAGTTTTTGAGACTTTATCATGGCTCCAGAGGCCGACTATTCCGTAGCCATATGAATGATTTGCTCTACTGCATGCATAACGATTTTAGAACCTCTGAACCTCTTTTTAACCTTGACAATTTTTTGAACCACGTATAAGAAGTGTATCCACTTTATTTCTTTGAATTTGTATAATTTATTTTTACTCTATACTAACTGTTTGCTGATCGGCTTATATTTTCCAAGGTCACTTAAGATTCGTTCAAAGCGCGTCCATAACCTATAGTCTCGTTAAAATTATATATGAACGAATTCTAGTGTTGAAGTGCTGATTGATAATGAGAGTCAACCAGTTAATTGTCATCAACTTGGAGTCAGTGAAATTTATCATAATCATGAAGAGCCAGGTATATATGTTGTACTTTATCCCGAAGAATTTGAGGAGATTATCCGGCTTGGTTGAAATGAAGTGGAAACAGTTCACTAAGAGGCTCAATAATCGAATACCTTGTGAATATGGGACACTCAATCAAAGAGGATTCTATGTTCAAAGTCATCTTCAAGGTAAGTAGAAGGTTGCCAAAGGCAATCAGATTCCATTTTCTTAACATTGCAGAAGCAATAGCTATACATCTGGGAAAACTAGGTTTATTTAACTAACAGAATCTGGAACAACCTCTTCTTCCACAATAGTTTTAATGTCTTATAATTTTCGTGCTTCTTCATACTTTTCTTCCTTCATAACCATCTGCTTCCCTTCTATCTTCTCTATAAACCTTCTACCCCCGAATGGTTTATTTCTGCTTCTATAATCCTCCTGACCACGTTCTTTTTATCATTCTGAGCCTTCCTTTCGTAATTATAATTGCCCTATCTTCATGATGAATGAATATTCAAGCTCTTAAGCTATGATTAGTTTCCATGATAAGAAAAAATAACGGTTTAATGCCTCTAATTAATCTGCCTCACTGTTACTGTGTTTAACAGAATCTTTATTACCACTATTATTGTAATTATAATCATTTTGAAAAATAAGTAAAAATGAATTCACCGAAAAGAGAACTCTTCAATGAACTAATCTGTCTTATTTCATAACTATAATTCAATAAATCTTAATCGTTGGGTATTAAATCCTTATACGCCATTTTTCTTTTATATATTATTACCATTGAATTAATTACTTCTATGAATCAGACGTTAATCTTGTGCTAATGAGGTATGACAACTTGGACCAATACATATATGTGCCTGATCTCACGTTGTAGCTGACTGACTGACGTGGGGTATTATATCTTCGATAATGATTTGCTATGATTTGACCAGTACATAATATAATACTTGATATTTAAAATCTATTAATTTTGAGTTATATCAATTTACTGTCATGTTGTATTTGATATCTAGTATCATAATCTAGAATGATGCTTATTTGTGTAAGGTTCCAACACTGTTTATGATTGATTGAATTTGTAATGGTTTGAGTTATCTCGTTGTTGATATTTTGTCTGAAATTTGACTAGTGTTTGTTGGGATATATAACAGAATAATCATCAACTCTGAGATCCAAGTACACCTAACTGATAAGTACCAAATAGAACGAGTTTACTGTGCAGCAGTTCGTTCCGTCCTACTTTATGGCAGTGAAACATGGCCGGTAAGAGTAGAGGATATTCGTAGGTTTGATCATAGGTGTCTTCGAATCATTACTCGTATATCCTGGGACCATGGAGTAAGTAATGCAGTTGTTAGGGAACGGGTACTAGTTAAGGATGGCAATTCCATTGATGTAGTAGTGAAACTTCATCAGTTGAGATGGCTGGGACATGTGTTACGTATGCTCAACCACTAACTGCCTCGACGTGCGATGCTCAATGGTATAGTAGTAGGTTGGAAGAAAGCTAAGGGCGGTCAGACCAAAACATGGCACAAGTCCATGAAGTCACTGACAAGTGGACTGAGCCATGTTTGTAGATGTACACTACCTGACTGGGATCCGTGAGATGATAGCAACAGATGGTTAGAGACCTTGAATGACATGGCTCAAAATCGCTTGTAGTGGCGCATGTGCATCCACTCTTTGTGTTATCCCAAATTATAACCTTCTGAATTCTTTATGTCCCTTTTTTCCCCTTCCCAAATTTAATTCACTGGATTATACTCCTTCAATAACATCTTCAATCCCGAATGTTTCCGACTACTGCTTATACTCTTACTACCTCTACCATTATGGGATTTGGATCGACAACGGCATCTCTGTGCTGATGTGGTATGGCACCTCTAACTGATGTTCATACGTACGAAGTTCTACGTTGTTACTGACTGACTGAAATAGGACGAAAAGCTCATCCTGCACTCCACTGTTATAATCAGTTAGCCAATGACAAACACTTCATTGAATTCACCTTATCATAGCCTACATCTTCACTCCTTCATAGTACTAAATGAAGCTTGGAACAATGAACCCACTGTTAAAGTGTACAGTGTTAGAGTACATATGAGTACAAAGAAGAGGGATAAAAAAACACTAGAGTTCAATGAAAAACTGTTAATTACAGAATTCATTGTCAATAAAACGGTTAAAACAATATAGGAGAAAAATCAACTGACTCATCTACAATTAAATCTTTTAACCTACCATATGTGATTCCAATCAACATGGAAGCGATTTCTGATGGACAAGGAGGTAATAAAACAACTGGATGGATATCATTAGACCAAACATGTTTCTGTTTATCATTTAAACGAATACATTGTCCATCAGTTAATGGAAAAATAGGCAAATGTTGTAGAGCTGTTAGAAGACGACGTCTAGATACCGCAATTGATTGTTTAGATGATAATGATATTTGTGATGACCATTTAGAAGTAGGTGTATTGTATGTAGTTAAACAAGCATCAAAACTAGACATTAGTACTGAAAGTAAACCAGGACGATTGATATCCTCTGAAACACAAAAAAAACGAAAACCAATAATCAACATATCAATAGTTGTGACATACATAATTTCCATTATTATTATGAATGTGATCAGGAATCTTAGATCAAGACTTGGTTGTTGCCTATTTTGATTGATTACACACGTTTAATGAAGTTTTTTGAAAGAATAAGATATCTTGATAAATTTCACCTTGGTTTGAACACCCTTTATATCGTCTTGAAATGAAGTCCTTTAAAAAAAAACTATTGAAGGCTATGAAACACCAAGTATCTAGTTCATTTTTAGTTCGGGACATATCGATAAGTAATTAGTGGGTAATTACAAACGTTATGTTTGTCAAGTCCTTTAGTGTTAATCGAATCTTAGAGATCAAGTGATCAATAAATGGTAAATATCTCAATCTTATAAGTCATTTACGGCTAATTTTAGATGAATGAAGGGCTTCAACAGTATCAAGGGCAAGACAGATATCACCGACAGCGTTTGTTGATCGTTTTGCAATAATAGAAATTCACTGATGTTTTAATTGTGTAGAATTAGCTTTCAATAATTCTCTAGTTGATCTCAAGCATATAATTGTAACATCTATTGTCAACAGTTCAAACATGTGACATAGTATTCAAACTATTAAACATTGAAATACTGACTTAAAAGATCGAAAATAGTGCTCCAACCTACTTTCCTTTGAGCACCCATGGATAGTGTGAATAGCCATCATACTAAATATTGCGGTTTAAAAAACTAAACATAAGAGTTTGTATATCACTAGTATAGTAGAGTTTTAAAAAATTCACTCATTAATTACAACGTATTTAATCTAATATCAATCCTCTCAAACTTATGCGCCATTATATTCCCAAACATCGGTTGATATTGACATAAATTTCCCTGTTTTCAAATTTGTTTGTAACTAAGTAATTATGTTTATCAACCGTATACACTTGGTAATCTTATTACTGGAGGTAGGAACATTACAGGGGGATTTTATACTTTCCATCTTTTCTATCCTTAGCAGAAATGATTGACAATTACTAAAGAATTCACACATCAAATGTAATAAGTTGATGAGAAAAAGATACCAAAAAAGGAATATTGATGATCGTAATCATTTAGAGATAACTGTGAATGGTGACTAATCACCATTTAAAATTATTGTATACATATTCTTTTTGAAATATTTCTAAGTTCCGTGTTTAAGAAAACCAAACATTTTCAATAATTTTAGGTATTTTGTACTGATAATTCTTCAATATAATCAAATATACGGTATTGAATGAATTTATTATTACTAACTGTCTTCTCGTGGCGCGCATGTTGTTTACCGAATGGGAAGAAGAAAAGCGAATGTCTGGCACTTCAACCGGATTGGTGGATACAGAGAGTCCACCTAGGGGAGTTGGAAAACCTTGATTCAAAACCAATAGTGCACATGGGCTCCAGGATCCTGAAGGAACAAATGGTATAAGAACCAATTATTGGTCACCGGCTACCAGACTGCATCTTCAGACGTTGCTCCACTGCCTTGTGGATCAGACCTTTAGACCAAAGGCTCCGGGTTTAACCCCCTAAGAAAACCACTTGCTTCGGTTTGGGCACCCGGGCAGTACCTCATCCCTCACACAAATCGAGTCCTTTATGTGGCGCATATTTATTTGGTGCCTCCACGTACCAATGGTTATGTGTTTAAATAAATAAATTATCATTACTCTTATGAATAACAATAAAAGAATTCATTAAACAAAGAGTATTCACCAGGTTTTAAATTTGTAGCTAAATTTAAAAGAGATTCAACAGAAATTGTTTGAGCACCCAACCAATGCAATGCATCTATTCTAATTCGATCTATTAAATAATCTGTAGATTGATATTTATCAATAATCTCATTATCATTGGTCATATCTTTCACAGTATCTTCTACTTCAACTGGTTTCATTGATAAACGTCTATGATGTGATGGAAAGACTAACAATTCTGGATGTGGTTCATATATTTGTAGATAATCGATCAGAAGATGTAAGAGAATCATTTCACTATTATTGGATGAGGTAATCTATAAATAATCGAATGAAATGTATAAATTACATGGATAAGTAAAAAATAAAAAGATTATATGTAACTAAGGTACATCTTTGATAATATAAATGTATTGTAAAGATAAGGATTTAAGTTGAAAGATTGTCCTATTTGAAAACTTCTAAGAAATTATCGTCTATAGAACCATTAGTAGAGATTCACTTGGTGTGACTAGTCACTATCCATCTTTCCTTAAAAAGCTTGTGACTTAAGGCTATATCGAGGCTATCCGCACAGGATGTACATGTGCCAAAAAGAGATTGATCAGTTACAGTCCTAAATAAATATCCATCATTAGTAGAAAGGTTCATATGACATAATTGTAGAACTAACAAGTAGAAACTCAATTATAAATTAGGTAGTTATAGTTTTTCTCCAAAGACAGTGTAGAGGTGGTTCTGAGTGTTAAATACAATTCTTTCATCTATTCAAACTAAATTCGAAGGATATTAGGACAGTGAAGAGGCAATTGCAACTCTATGATAAAATTTATTCAAATAAAAGATGGATCTTTGGTTTACGTAAAGAAAGATTTCTTAGATTCGATTGCCAATTCCAAATACAATATTCCCACATCTACGTTCCAAAGATATATGCCGAAATAGGATTAAAACACTAGACTATAAAAGTGATCACCAAGTTAGTTGTGACCTGACATTATTCCCAGCATTCAGTAAAGAAATACACCCCTCAGAAACATTATTTTTTATTAAAACACGCAATGCCAAGAGTGGAGAACGTATGAGTATCGCTAGTGAAAACTGGAATGTCGTTGAGGATCAGCGACTAAAAACAAAAAACTTCGAGAAGTCGAATTAATGTTCCTGAATGCGTCTTTGACATTTTGAAATTCAAATTAGTAGTCAGTTATCCTCTTGACAGGCATTCCACTTCTTATTGATGCTACATACCAGTTATATCTGTCAACATAAGTAGTATAACACCATACTGCTCTAACTACCAATGTTTGGCGATTGGATATTGAACGCAATTTAACATCGAACTATGCATAAAGAATTGTATAAGCGAGAGCAAGAAACTTTAAACGGATATAAGTTGAATTAAATTTCACGTTGCTTACAGAGTTTGTCTCTTCGGAAGAATGGCTACATTCTTTCTCAATCAACATTGATGAAGATGACATTGAGGATAATAATGTCGGAACAACTAATAACCTTGATGCAATCACGTATTTACACGAATCAATGTTCGGCAAACAATCAACTGTACGTTGAATACCTGGTAACCAGGCAAGATTTGATAATTTAGCGCGTAATTGATTTGGTAAACCGAAGAACACGTTGTCATTTGTTATCGTTGTGGAGATTGATGATGATGACGATGTGATGGAACGGTTTGTCAAACAACCGGCTGCCGTTGATGATGAAAATGATAAATTATATGGAAGACAAGAGATAATACGCCCAATCAATTCAATGCGTGTATATCCCAAATTGTCATTTGACTGAGATGAATCCAAGTCAATTGTAAAACATGATTCTGGCAACTAAATAACCAATAGAGAGAAATGAAGAAAATGAGTAAATAAACAAATTGATCAGAAACAATTACACTTACGAATATTAATCAATTCAGAATGATAATTGTTCAGTAAAATATTCGTTTAATGTGATTAATCTTAATATGTTATTATGCCATATAGTGTTATGCATTGACATACTTGTGCTGAACCTATAATACTAATCGAATTTCATGAACCAAGTGGCAATGTAGTCATTTTAATTTAGGTGACTTGACATTTTGCACACTATGCTAAACTGTTAGATAGTCAAGAAACCCTGATGAGTATTGATCAATACAACATCTATGTCAATTGGATCTGTTGACGATTATCTTCAACTAACCAATTATCTTAACAGTTGAATTCACGAGTCGATCAAAGCTAGACCACCAGTGGAAACCTGGAAGCACTGGACAGTCGTTTCATTTACTACTTAACAAGTTTGACAGCGTCAATACCGACAGCTGGATAACCAGATGTTGTGTTACTACCTCTCTGGAAGTGAACAGTACACTGTATTTGGAAGAAAATGTTCGACGTTACAAGGCGTGCCATATGGAGCTGTTCTTTCCCCTCTTCTTTTCTCATTTTTCTGCATAATCTGAAGTCTTCTACAGAAGTTACCTTTGTTAAGTATGTGGGTCAATTTGCTGAATGCATGTCAATTTGTACCTCCTCACATCTTAAAATGAGTGAGTTCTTGTCTTTCATTTGGACGATGATCTGTTGTAAATGGTCTCACACCTAATCCTTCTAAATATCAACCTGTTAACTTTAGATTGAGACATGAACAGCTCGCAAACACCCTATTTGAATCCCACAAAACTTATACTACTGGACATTCTTTAATGAAAACAGTGTCAAAGGTCATTCATCTTGGTGTAGGCTTCTATACTGATCTCTCTAGGTCTTCTCATGTTTTATTGTTATCGAAGAATTTTTTCCGTTTTACTACATAAAGAGGCTGCATGTTTTTTGGGTTACTCTACATTTACTCTTACGATTCACAGATTCTGGAACATTACCTAATGTTCTTTATTGTTTCCTATTATTCTTTCCCAGGATTTTAAGAAGATATTTTTCTGCATTGTGGAAAGTGTTAAAGGCAGTTAACAGGGCGCGCCCGTGAGTCTTTTGAGGTCATTATGGTTGTGGATAGACATCTAAAATCTTGCAAACTCTTGAAAAGTGTCTTTTTACCAGATACTAACTATCCATTTCACTTACATCTCTCTCTCACTTTGTATATCTTGTGGTAAAACGAGGCGTCAATATATTAGAATCCATGCACGCAAGCAAAAGTAGAAAAGCTTTACAATACCTTATCTAGTAAATATACTATGTGACGAACAATTTGTTAGAGATGACCTAGTGAATAACTTGTATTTGTAAACACAGTTCTAATTAAAAGGTGTACAGATCCTTACTTACTTACGCCTATTACTCCTCATGGAGGAGCATAGGCCGCTCACCAGCATTCTCCATTCAACCCTGTCCTGGATAATCCTTTCCAGCTCTTTCCAGTTGTTATTCATCCTTTTCATATCTGCTTCTATTTTCCAATGTAATGTGTTCTTTCGTCTTCCTCTTTTCCTCTTCCCTGAAGGATTCCAAGTTAGGGCTTGCCTCCCAATGCAGTTTGACGATTTGCGTAATGTATGTCCTATTCCATTTCCATCGTCTTTTCCAAATTTCCTCTTCAGCTGGAAGCTGTTTTGTTCTCTCCCACAGAAGGCTATTGCTAATAGTATCCGGTCAATGGATGTTGAGTATCGTGCGTAGACAACTATTTATAAATATTTGTACCTTCTTGATGATGACTGTGGTAGTTCTCCATGTTTCATCTCCGTACAGTAGGAAAATCTTGACATTCTTATTAAAGATTCTGACGTTGATATTAGTTGAAAGTTGTTTTGAGTTCCATATTTTCTTCAATCGAAGGAATGCGCCCCTTGTTTTTCCAATCCTTACTTATAGATTCTAATCTTATAAAAAGTCATTTCATTGAATTCTAAATAGTTTATTTACTTAATTTATGTATATACGTGTGCAGTTATCTTTTTTTTGTAGAAGAAACCTGTTCAAATATCGTGTGCGTAAAATTCAATATTTTACTGAACATATAATATTGAATAAAGCCATTAATATTAATAACGACACTTATAATTATCAAAGCATAATCCTCAATTGTGTATATCAACAACCTCAGACAGTATTGAATTCAAAGGTAAGTAAACATTGGGTCATCGAATCAGAATTTCCTGGAGGATACTTTACACAACTTCAAATATGTTAATGGATGTTTACAGCTGATGAAATAATTACATAGTGCTCATAAATAATGATAAAAACAAAAGAAGGAAATCAGTTTACCTTTTCAATACATTCAATCATATCAGAAAAGATATTTGGTATTTTGCCTACAAGCCAACGATTCCAAGCACTTGTTGAATCAACGTCTTCACGTGAAGAAGTTAAATCGAAATCAGCTAAAGCAATTAATTACAAAGAGAAGAAAACAACAAATATTCAACTTGTATTATTATGATCAATTACTATTTTCGGCAGAAGCATATATAACACAACATGAAAAATCAATACAACTCCAATAACAATAAAATGTAAGACGTTATTTCTTTTGTTACATCATTTCCATGATATGACTGTTTAAACGAATTGGATACGGTTGTCATGTGAACCCTAATCAAGTAGTCTGATTCGATCAACATGGTTTAGACAAACAGTTAGTGACTACATGTACCAGTGCTATATTTCGGTATGGCCACTCTCTCCAAGTTTCTACCAATCTATGCCTACACTAGATAATAAACGTGTGAATGTTTTTTTCACAGTTAATACACAGAACATAGCTACGTTATTCCTTATTTCATAATAGCATGACACATGGATAATGATGCTTTCTTGGATAAAATCGATAATCGAAGTGAAATGTTTTCCGAATATTAATCTTTCTACAGTAGGTATATAACTTCGCTAACTTCATCTCACTGACAAATATAAATTTGTGTACTTGGTTCTAACCCTCATTCTAGTGATACTACTAATTATCTCAAACTAAAGTAGGTGAGATTAGCTTGAAGTCAGTAACTTCATGGTTGAAAGTTGAATACACCAACCACCGAATTACTATTACAGTAACCCTAGAAGCACCAGTAATAGGTGTTAGTTATAATGTTTTTCTTCAAAATAAATACAAAACAACTTACCATTTATAAAAAATCGGAACCCAACACTACGTATTGGTAAATAAGAAAATATAGGACATGGTTGTAGATTATCTGAATCATTCAATGATATAGCCAATGATATTTCTGTCTGTGATGGAAGATTCTGTTATAAATTGTTCGGAAAGAAAAAAATTACATTGATCATTTGTCATATTTGTATTAAGAAGATATGAAAAACAAATAGGTTGTCAAAATTGAAAATGAAAGGCGTATGAAATGTAAGTGTTATTTGATAATTCGTTATAGACTCAACCTCTCTATATGCACACATAATCGGACCATTAAACTAAACTAGGTATTCCATAGATAGTATGTTCGCATTCTGACCAAGAATATTGAAACTTAACAACGACGACTGAATCCCTTAATACGGATTCGTCAAACGCAGCCCCCTCTATCATAAACGATCGAATAGGATATAAAAACAGTCAGACGAATTATTCTCTATTCTTTTCTATATATTGACTCAAAAACTCAAATGATAATATGCATCAATTACATGAGTATCATGCACTATTAATAGGAAACAAAGTCATTTATAATACAAAACTGAATAATTGATGAATAATTAATTAACGGTAATTTACAAACGGTGAGACATACATCATCTGCCAAGAAAGGAAGAATGAGGAACAGATTACAAACAATGATAACTAGCTACCGGGACATTGCTACGCCTAATTGGTAATCTATAAATTACTAAAAGCATTTAGTTTACAATTAATTTACAAATTACTGTCATATTCAGTGTCATTCTGAAATCGCTGTAATTTAAATATGGTTCCTTGTATCCTAATTTTTCTTATTCCAATGTCCTAGCTTGAATATGTATGATTCTTCGAACGCTGTGTTTTTTACTTACTTACTTACGCCTGTTACCTCCATTGGATGAGTATACGCCGCCTACCAGCATTCTCCATCGAAATCTGTCCCGAGCAATCGTTTCCAGTTGTTTCCAATTGCTATCCATTCTTTTTCATGTCTGCTTCCTTGGCCTTACTCTTTTCCTTTCGCCTTGAGGATTCTAAGTTAAAGTTTGCTTCGTGATGTAGTTTGGTGATTTTCGTAATGTATGTCTTAACCAATTCCATTGTTTTTTTTCCTAATTCCCTCTTCAGTTGAAAGCTGGTTTATTTTATACCACAGTAGGTTGCTGTTGTTGTGTTCCCACTAGTCATATATTTATTAGTTTATATTTTCGAGTTAAAATAATCGGATAAATAGTATACACATTTTCCCAATATAGTTATCTTTTGGCTTCCCAAACCCAAATAATTAGGTCATAATAAATCAGCGATGGAACTGTTCTCTTGTCACCTACCGTCATGGACATTCAGTCACAAAATCGAACTAACCTGTTACAGTTGTACTAAGTAACCTTAACATAGTGTCCAAAAAAGTGTGATATCTAACAGTTTCAAGCATTTTTAACATTCATTTAATGTGCCCGTATTGTACTTAAAAATGTAATGTTTTAACTGAGAACTTCATTTTCACCATCATCATCATGAATAGGACACTGTAGCGCACACCGACTGGTCAGATGTAAAAAGCAAATAGAATGGAATTGATGACTTGGAATAAAATCTTCAGTAAAAATCATCCACTTATATGCAGTATTCACTCATTATAAATGAACAGGAAAATTCTAGATATTAAACGTTGAGATTAAGATGGTGGTTGGAGGTAGTCAACAGGAAACCCTGGACTCGGGTTTCGTGCCACTTGACACTCGTCAGCAAGGTGGACCTGTAATCTTGAGGGAACTGGTGCTCCCTGGCGGATTCGATCTCGTGTCACCCAGCTTCACAGTCAGAGACGTTACCACTGACTACCTCCAACCACCATCTTAATCTCAATACATAGTGCCCGCAGTGTCGAGTCACCTAGACTGGTGGCCACATTGCAACATGATCGATAGCATTCGATCTGCACTAATAAGGACTAGACAAGCATGACATTGATCACCACCCAGTGATCAATCAATTGTGAGATATTAAACGTATATTAAAAATTCAAAAGTAGATGAAACACAAGATCATGGATACATATCCTGCCTAATTAGAGCAATATAAGAAATATCATACACTAAATAATGACCATACAATAATAGTTCTTTGTAGAACAGTTCTAAAACTTCTAAATTCTTTTCAATTATTCTTCCATATATTAAAAGTATTAAACTATAATTAAACTGGGTTTTTTTCTGGTTAGAGCATTTTAGCAAAGTTGTTTACTGAAGGATGGGGTTGCTAACCCCATATGCCTGACCCTCCTCCTTCGCCAGGGCTTGTGACCGGCAGTAACAATTTCCTACGCAAGATACTCAATGTCCGTTGGCCGGATACCATCAGCAACAGCTCACTGTGGGAGAGAACAAACCAACATACAGAGGAAGTGTAAATTGGGACAAGAACGCTGCAGGTTGATAGAACATACATTGAGGAAAACACCAAACTGCATCACGAGGTGAGCTATAACTTGGAATCCTCAAGAAGAAAGAATAAGGAGATAAAGTGACACATTAAGTCGTGAGTTGGAAGCAGACATCGAAAGCATCAATAGCGATTGAAAACAAATGGAAAGGATTGCCCAGGACACAGTTCCATGAAGGATCCTAGTGGATGGTATTCCGCTCTTCGATGAGTGGTAACAGAACTAAGTAGGATCATGAGGTTCAGTATCACTCATAAAATACATTTTTTTATTCATTATTTATTTTATTTTAACACATAGACATTGGTACAAGGAGGCACCAAATACATATGCGCCACACAGATATCATTTGATATGTGTGAGGGCTGTGATACTGCCTTGTGCTCAGACCGAAGCAGGTGATTTTCTTAAAGGGCCACACCCCGAGTCTTTGACTTAAAGGTCTGACCCACAAGGTAGTGGAGCATCACAAGGAGATGCAGTCCCATGGTAACCGGTGACCAACAATTGGTTCATACGCCATTTGTTCTCGCAGAATACTGGAGCCCATGTGCACGATTGATTTGGAATCCGATTAAAGCGCCGGACATTCACTATTCGTCCTCTCATTTTCGTAAACAACACCGGTGCCACGAGAAGGCAGTGAGTAGGACTTCCCTGGTAGGGGCTATATACGCGTGGCCATGTGAGAGCATTTCGAGAGGGAGAGTGGACTCTCCCCACTCTCGGCCGTACCAGGGCATTTGGAATGTATTATCAATGCTCACCCCTTTTCATTATCCTTTTTACCATGATATGATATAGAAAATCAACTTTTATATCATAAAATACTTTGATTTTGATTAACAAATTGATTATGGTTATTATTATTAATCAAAACTATGAACTAACTTTATTCGGCTCTTTATAGTCAACAGGAATTATTTCTTTAAAACAAAACCATTTATATATTGTATTGGTTTCACCATCTGATGATAGATTACATTGAGTTTCATGAACTGTTATCATTTCAGTAATATATTGAGTTTTTCCTGATATAGATGATGATAATGTTTTTATGGTACGTTTTACACTCCAATAAATATTTGACTTAAAAGAAAAGAAAATGAAAAAGAGACGAAAAAAACAATCATCAAACTACCATTTTTCGGTTAATCAAAAAAGATCATTACAAGAAAATAAATAAATTTCATGAAAGAGGAAGAATGTTGTATTTGTGAAAATCTCAGTGAATGAATTTGAAGTCAATTCAACGTTTCGCCTGACAATCTGGTACAAGTGTTATCAAGGAAATATTGTTATAACTTGTGACCTGTGTGCCCTGTTAATGTATAACGTAAAGATACCACCAATTAAAGAGCAGTGAATTATCGATCGGACCAATGACGCATAAGACCCGTACGAGCAGTCTAGAGTCCTTATTGGTCCTGCTTCCTGTCTAGCCCTGACTGTTGAGTCTAAAAAACCAATCTCAGACTCTGTAATATCAATCATTTATTTTAAACATACTTAGTTTATATACCAACCAGATAGACCACATTGTATCATAAAATAGGAAACAACATTTGTACAAGAATTAGCCAAATGTGGCTGTGAATGTGGGAGATAGTAATTGATAGACTGAGCATAACTCAAGAATGGTAAATGGTATAATAATAGTTCATAGGTCAAAATGAAGCTCAGAATAAGAGGGACATGAACATTCATAGTCTAGTTATTTAACAATTAGACGATGAAAATGTACGCATAGTATGGGTCCATAAATGGATCCCAAAATTTACCATTCATGATGCTTATCGGGACATAACAAATATAGAATCAAACATCAAAGTTATCGATAATTTGATTATATTTCCTTGAAAAACCTTCGATCCGATTGCCAGAGAAAACATTGAATTTACTTCCAATTCATTCACTGAGATTTTCACAAATACAACAATCTTTCTCTTTAAGGTTTTACATCAACTCGGCACCCAAATACTGTGAAACTATTCGATCAAATTTAGACGAAAATTCTTATTTAAATAAATTTCGTGTTTATAAATATTGAATTAGCATAATGTAAGCATCACCTAAAGCTTCGAATGAATTTATGCATTAAATGTTATATTATTTAATTGTATATTTGAGAATGAAGTTTGATAATTCAATGGTTTCAAATCAATCAGTTACTTGATTTATTTTCTTTAGAACTCAGTTAATAACCATCAACATATACATATATTCCCCGAACCTTTGACCTAGAGGTTTGATCTACAAATCAGTGGAGCGATGGTAGCCGGTGACCAACAATTGGTTCATACGCCATTTGTTTCTATAAGATCCTGGAGTTCATGTGCACCATTGATTTGTAATCAAGGTTTTCCAGCTCCCCTAGGTAGATCCTTCGTGTTCACTAACCCGGTTACAGCTTCGGACATTTGCTTTTCGTCCTCTCAATTTCGTAAAGAACACGCCCGCTACGAGAAGGCAGTGAGTAAGACTTCCCTGGTGGTGGCTGTATACGCGTGGTCATGTGAAGCATTCCAAGAAGAATAGTCTCTTCCCACTATCAGCCATGACAAGGGCATATAGGGACTTCAAAAATAAAGCTAACAAATCGCGTGATCTTAAGGTCATGAATTTCATTATGATAAGTTACAAAGAATTTACATAACACATACACATAGTCTTCAATCATCCACGTGCATTTTTCGGTATGTTCTGAAATTCGAACTGTCTTCTCGTTTGGTCTCCATGTGTTCTACCAACGGCGTACTTTCGCTGTAATGCAGCTTTTCACTCGGTCCGACAACTGATGTAACTTCGATGCCACGTTCTGAGAGTTACTACTTAGAAACAACGTTGTGAGTAGCGTTCACTACAGTAGTAACCAACTTTTACAGAGCTAATGGGGTTTTTTCTTATCAAGCTTATGGTGTGATCATGAAGTTGGTGAATCCAATCTTATAATGTACTAATCGGTGTCAGATATCAGTAACAATCTAGATCATTAAGCGGTTTGCACAGTCGTATGTGATTCCAGTTGGTATTTTAAAGTAAACACGAATTCCTTCCGTAGAGGAATTATCGACCTCAAAGATCGTTTTAAGGGCTATCCATTGTCTTCCATTTTGTTTAACTTCACCTAGAAGTAACACTTCGCCTATCTTTTAAGAGTTTGATCTCCTCCCTGGAAACTCACTATCCAACTTGGAGTATGCAGACGATATATATTATTTGGTGAAATTGCTGACATAATACAGATACTCCTAAACCCCTATGGCAACAATGAAAGCATAGTAAGGATTCATTTTTCTCCTCTCCCTTTCTCTCTATCATAGAAGAAAACTAATGGTGGCAAATACAAGACGTAGAACATTTACTCTTTCCTACTAGCATTGGTGCCATGAATGATTAGACTCCTTTGCTCTTCATTCATCTATGCTAGTACGATATCGTGGCAACTCGAGTTGATGTACATTTGTGCCAGGCTCTATGTTAATTGTAACTGATTGACTGATATAATGCAGAGAAATGAATCTAAGATATCATGAAATCTAGATCTGTAGTTTCTAATAGATCGTCTCAAATTAATAAACACACACACCACAATTACTCGATAATTATTTGTATATAATATATAATCGAAAAAAATACGAAATCAACCTACTTCCATAAAGGAGAATCGAAGACACTGTAAACGTCTAAGAAATAGCATTAAGCTAGGATGCAGTGTTGTTTGAACGAGCTGAGTAATATAGAGAGCGGGTGATTGAACTACTCTTGTTGAACGATTAATTAATGTTTCAGAATTCAACGGCAGAATAAATAAAGTTTTACACCATGATGGTGTTTCATTAGAATGATTTTGAGATCTCATCAATTGCTCATTATCACACCATTCAGGTATGAGTATTAATGATGGCGGAGTTTGTGAAGTGTACTTTGTACATTTCGATTGTCGATGAAAGCGAACATGAAAACCGTTAGAATGAACTTCCGGTGTATCTGTAATATTGAAGACTGATTTGAAACCGATTCCCTTACGTCCTGATAATAAGCAGAAAATGGAACATTTTATTTGAACAGCACATTAATACGTGAACAAATGATTATGTAAATATAGTTGAATCAATCGACAGAAATGTAATTTAGACACTAGTCTGAGTGACTCGACATTGTGTGAGATACATTTTGATGTTAAGTAGTTGGTTGGAGGTGATAGGTGGGGAATCGCCTTAACTGAAATACCGTGTATACGACTACCAGTCATTTGGACTAGTGATTACCTTGCAATTTGGTCGATGGTCACCACTAGCGACTGACTAGACAAACATGACATTACCCACCACTACTATTGAGTGATAAATCCATGTAAATATCTTAGTCCTACAAGGGGTCAACCAGTATCAAAATAGATCGGTAGCAATGTCTCCAACTTTAACAAGGGTTCGAATCCCACTATGAGGATCAATTCACTCAAAACTACAGCCAAGCCCTGCAAACGCAGAACATGTAGAATGAAAACTGAGTCCGACAGGACTTTATACCAATTGCCTCTCAATTCCTAAACAACTATTCATAATATGTGATGGAACAGTAAGAAATAAGAACTGTCCAAGCCGTACGTTTAAGTTATTTTACTTTACATTATTCTATTTTAACAATAATGATACATTATGATTACATAGTTTCTGTCAAAATCATAAACTTTTTTGTTTTAAAATATACAGAAGAATAGACTGAAAATTTGTGAATAAACCAACCTATTTTTGCATCACGTTGAGTTACTTTAGTACTTTGACCAATATCACATAACGCAGACATATCATGTTCAGTAAATCCAACAGATTCATTATTCATAACAAGTAAAGAGAATTTTTGATCATTAGTATTACTATTACACTCATTATTAATTGGTGAAATGGTGGATAATTGAAGTTGTAATGTAGGAACATCATTTATCCCATAGGTATTATCATCAGCATTCTGTATTAGTTCTAGAAGAAAATGTCCAGGTAGACCATAGAGTTCTTCAGATAATTGTACAAGACTACGTGATAATTTCCCTTCAACTCTCTTGAATTAAAAGATAAGAAGGGAAAGTTATTTTATTTAATAATAAAATTATTTAAAAACTTTTAGTCAACGTGATAATAAGATGACTTATTAATTTTAAAATAAAACGTACAATGCTGTTTTGATTCACATATTACACTATATATATAGACACCCCCCAAATGTCCTGGTACTCTCCCTCTCGAAATGCTCTCACGTGGTCACGCGTATACAGCCACCACCAGGGAAGTCCTACTAACTGCCTTCTCGTGGCGGGCGCTTTCTTTACGAAATTGAGAGGACGAAAAGTGAATACCCGGCGCTTTAACCGGGTTGGTGGACATGAAGAGTCCACCTAAGGGAGTTGGAAAACGTTGATTCAAAACCAATGGTGCACATGGGCTCCAGGATCCTGAAGGAACAAATGGTATAAGAACCAATTGTTGGTCACCGGCTACGATCAGAATGCATCTCCTGACGTTGCTCCACTGCCTTGTGGATCAAACCTTTAGATCAAAGGCTCCGGGTGTGGCCCCCTAAGAAAACCACCTGCTTCGGTTTGGGCACCCGGGCAGTATCCCAGCCCTCACACAAGTCGAATGACTTGTGTGGCGCATGTGTATTTGGTGCCCCCTTGTACCAATATCTATGTGTTTAAATAAATAAATAAACTACGGGGCTGTGGGAAATGTTGTTTATGTCTCAGGCTTTAACAGTGAACTGTCCACTCCTGGCCAAACTAATATAGATGATATCACATCTAAGCTATACATTACGGATATTTTTCATATTTCACACATATAACAATTCTATTCAGTCAAAACTATGTATAAAATACGTCATGATTTTTAAAATGTTATTAAAATGTCTTTCCTCGTGTAATGGTGAGTCAGATAATAATTGCAAGCAACACACAACGAGACATATATCTCCATCAACCCAATTTATCACATCACACAGGAACAGTGAGATGAAACTATTAAAAAGAATACCACAGTAACTGACTTTAACTATATTATGCAACATTTCCAACCATTGATAATGGTTGCTAAAGCAGACCCCAATCATGTAGTTTGTACCTTCCAACACGATTCAGACCAATAGTTAGTGACTTCATGAACCGAAGCAGTATCTTGGTTTGGTTATCCTTAGCTTTTGTACAGCCTACTTCGACGCTGATCAAGATCCCCAGCCGAAATAACATTATTAACCTAGTGATTTCAATTTAATGTATGAAGAAAACATATTATGCAGCTAACCTCCGTTTATCATTTTCTAACTGATCTATGAAAAATCCACGAGTATAAAACAAGCTCCCTGATCATACCACATCTATGTGTATCTACGAATTCAGCTGCTTCTGTGGAGAAAGCTATATTGGGTGCACGACAGGAAATTGAACTAACAAGTTGGTGAATACCTTCTTTCATGATTGGGAAAAGCTATTTTCAGAACATACACAGCACCGTTCTATCACACTTAACTGATAGCGGTTGTTTAATACACAGAAATAACCAATTAGAGTAATTTATCGTGTACCTACTACATTTCCTTATGGGGTTAGATCTCTTCACACACAAAGAGTTGCACTGGTACTATCCAAAGAAGCACGAAAAGCACATATAAGATAAGAATCTCATGGATCCAAAATCACCAAAGCATCCTTCAAAACAAAGCAATTGTGAGAAATACAGAGGCAACATACTATTATCGGTACCTGGAAAAGTTTTCAACAGAGTTCTACTCAACCGGATGAAAGACTGACGTATCTGGGTAGTATCATCAATGAACAAGGAGGGTTTGATGTAGATGTAAAGCCAAGGATCGGCAAAGGAAAGGCAGCACTCCTATAGTTGAAGAACATATGGAACTCAAAACAACTATCAACCAACATCAAAGTCACAATCTTCAATACGTCAAGACAGTCTTACTGTATGGAGCTGAAACATAGAGAACTATCACAGACATCCTCAAAAATGTACATGCACTCACAAACAATTGTTTACATAAGATACTCAATGTCCGTTGACCGGATACCATCAGCAACAGTCTACTGTGGGAGAGAATAAACCAGCTTCCAGCTGAGGAAATTAGGAAAAGACGTTGAAAGTGGATAAAACAAACATTACGGAAATCACCAAACTGTTCCAGGGGGACAGGCCCTAAACTTGAGTCCTGAAGGGATACCGATAAGAGGAAGGCCAAGGAACACAATGAGTTGAGAATCGGAAGCAGACATCAAAAAGATGAATAGCAACTGAAAACAGTCGGAAAGGATTGTCCAGGACAGAGTTCTATGGACAATTTTTGTGGACGACCTGTACTCCTCCACGAGGGGTAAGTAAGTAAGCAATATAATTACATTGTTGTACATGAGATCTTGTTGCAAACAATACTGTTCGTTTATATGTGTTGCTTTAATTTACAGTAAAAAATGAGTTGTATTAAACTAGTGAAACTAACAAAACAGGAAGAAAAATGCACACGTTATCGAATAGTAAAGTGAAAAAAAGTTGTATTATATTATGTATCTATTACAAAACAATAAGCGTTTCTGTGACTTTTAGGTGAAAATGGTAGTAGTCATAGTCTATACTTCATTTCTAAAGAAACACCATTAAATTGTAACTAACCTGAATTAGATCAGTTGCTTCTTCACTTAATTCAACACCGACACCAAATTCTCGGCGTCTAATCTCTTCGATAAATTGATGGCGATCAGATGATAGATTTTTAGAATCAGCTATTGTCATGTTTTTATCCAAGTGAATTGTAGATTTGCAAATATCACTGGCGTTTGTATTGACATCGTTACTTTGAATGGATACATTGGTTGAATTATCCTACATAACAGGATTTTTTAAAAGGTTTAATTTAAAAGTATATAACTCCTTGATGCTTATAAAACTTTATCGACTATGCTCTAATGTGGCTAGACTAATAGCTCGACCTTACTGTGGCTTTTATTTGAAAATTAGTTGGTGATGCAAGAAAATATATGGGTAATATTACTTTCAGGTCGTGTTTACAGAATCAAACATAATAAAGAGTATGTTAATCCCCTTGTTACAAAAAACTCTCACGTCAATTAAGTTCGCCATCTGACTAGGTTAAATTATGTAGAATGTGCCTCGAAACTTGAACCCGACGACTGAAAATTAACTTTTCTGACTATTAAGCTGGTGTCTAACATACTGAGTTAACAGCTATGAAGATAAGATTTATTCGAGATCAGTTTTCAACAATATCAACATCCAACTTCAATCACAAATCTCAATTATCATGTCGATTCAAACCAGATAATCAACCTGCACCTACTAACATACAGCTCAGATCAAACGTATATGACATCATGAACTGATACTATATCGTGTTTCAGAAGCCCATATAGTATTGTTCCATACACTACTCGAACCCCATTCAGGATCGCATTTAGGAAGTTTAAGATGGTTGTATTGCTTATTCTAACTAGTGAGGTTTAAATTTTTCACGTAATTAGTTTGTACCCTTCACTGTCGTTAGTATGGTTTGGAGATAGTTTTTTTAATAGTTAATAAACTTTCATTTCCTACAGCAATTCTTTCTAATATCCTAAATTTCTCGATAGTATGATCCAGAAAAATAATAAACTCATTTTTGACTAAGTAGAATGCAGAATCAATTCTATCCAATCACAGTAATATTACTCTGTGACTAATCAATATAAATATCTTAGTTCTGTAGAACAATCATAGTCCAAATAGTTCAGTAGTAAAATCTCATACTGAGAAACTGAACAACCCAAGTTTGAATCCATTAAAGAGGACCAGTTTCCACAAGACTATAGATACCCTATACTGATAGATAACAACAACAACAACAACAAAAATCCGTAAAAATTAAAAGTCACATTTTCATAGGCATCATTACTAAGGTTTGATTTGACGATTTCGAATAAATTGAGCATTGGGTAGATTGTTATAAATAAAAATAATATACTTGTAATATCCAATGAGTAGAAAAAATAGATTTTCTGAATTTGGTTATTTATTCTCTGAAGAAGTAGCTTACACTAGGTTACGAAACATCAGAAAATCTGGGGGGGTTCTACCCATTGAGATATTGTCACATTTTCATATTTGATTTCAACTTACTTCATTATTCTCCATTAATTTTGAACAAGTCGATATTTGATTATTATCAACATTTTCAGATATGAATTGGGTCTCAGATAAAGATGAAGGTAAAATACTAATTGTTGATAATTGACAATTCATATCAATGTTTTTCATTTGATCAATATTCATCATAGTAACAGTAGTTGGGTTATCAATTAATTTAAAACGATTTTCTTCAAAATATTTAATATAAGCAGGCCATTTTAATTGATAACCAATACTACCAATAGCAGAAATTAAATAAATTCGATTCAATTGTGAATTATTCTCATCAATGAATGTATTCAAAGAAAGAAGTTCATCATGGAAGAAGATATGTAAAAGACTATAATTGATAGATGAAACATTATTATTCAAGAGTGATATATCAGATTTATCTAATGGCCATGATGTAGAACATCGAATTCCTGCTGATTCTAAACTTGGAATAATAATCTGAAATAATAAATAAATTTTAAGAAATTGGATGATATTCAATAGGAAGTTATTGTTGATTATTCTGTGACATTACGCTGTTTATTTACTATTCGATAATGTTAAGATGATAAATTTGTATTTACCACTTGTATTAGTTGAGTTCACTAGTCTGACGGTCGGTCGTCAATAACATGGAATCTGATAATAACTTATGTACTGGTTCAAAATGAAAAATTTTACAATAAAACAGTGAATGAAAGATAATGAGAGAACGCATCTAATTTAAATTGGGCTCGTATCAGTAGTCAATGACCTTATCATATGATCCTGTGTTTCACCCTCATCTCACTAATTAGGCTTTTGTAAATTCATTCGTATAGCAGGACAACATAGACCTCCAAATGACCTGGTACGACAGAGGGTGGGGATAGTCCGCTCTCCCTCTCGAAATACTCTCACATGGTCACGAGTATACAGACACTATCAGGGAAGTCCTACTCACTGCCTTCTCGTAGCGGGCGTGTTGTTTACGAAATTAAGAGGACGAAAAGTAAATTTCCAGAGCGTTAACTGGGTTGGTAGATACAGAGAGTTCACCTAGGGGAGTTGGAAAACCTTGATTCAAAACCAATGGTACACATGGGCTCCAGGATCCTGAAAGAACAAACAGCGTATGAACCCACTGTTGGTCACCGGCTACCATGGGACCGCATCTCCTGACATTGCTCCACTGCCTTGTGGATTAGACCTTTAGGTCGAAGGCTCCGGGTGTGGCCCCATAAGAAAACCATATGTTTCGGTTTTCACGCAGACAGTATCTCAGCCCATACATGAATTCAATTATTTGTGTGGCGCATGTGTATTCGGTGATCATTTGTACCAATATTTATGTGTTCAAATGAATAAATAAATCGAAGTAGACGGTGATTGGATATAGAAAGCACACAAACCAAACATATTTGTCAGTGAGTTTTAACAGTTATATCAACCTATTTATCATACTGAACCAGTACCCTAGGCCTACTTTACCACTACTTATTCAGTGGTTTGACAATATACAAGCTAAAGACTTGAAGACATCAATAAACCAGTCATCATTCACTAAAACTGATAAACTAAAATGGATAGAAATCATCAAAATTATATGGTTTACTTCTAAGAAAAATACCCAATGAGCCAAACACACAGCCAACATAAGATCTAGTTTGAACACATATCAACTACACTTATAATATATCCATCATTAAAATTTACAGAATATATCCTATCTGTGGTAATTTTCTAACACACTTGTAATGATAATCATACTAAGTAAAATAGACTGTCATAAAATAAGCACATTTTAGAAACTTACTAAAGAGAATACCAAACCTAATAGACTATATGGTAACTTCATTAATAGACTGTATACAAAATAAATCCATTCATTTGAATCTAGAAAAAGTAACAAAACAAAATTAGCTCATTGAAAGCATACAAACTAGTCACTACAAGTGATATAAAGAGATAAACGGATGATATTATTTCAGTCAATATTTTATATATTAATTCATTGAGAAATTCGGCCACGGTGATAGGCGCAAACTTTGTTCAGTGTAACACTTTGAGGTTCATATATTTTCTTGATTCATAATTCAGTATAAACTTTGTTTTATATGAAAAGTGTGAACACTCATTCATTGTGACAAATTTATTTCCTGCATTAATTCAGATGAATTATATTTAGTATGTGTGCTTTTATAGTAACTATATGTACTACTCCTTCCCCCCCCCTATATGATGCTATTAAGTATAAACAATTGCAACGTTTTGCAATAGCAACGAGTCCCCAGACATAACAGTTGGCTATCTTGTTACAAGAGTGCCGATGGATCCAATTTTAGGTTAGAACATCGCAAATTCATTGATAACAATAATCATACCTGAGACATTTTTAGAAATGTTAGTAGTAGTAGTGAAATGATTCGTAATGATGGAACATGCTTGACTAATTGTCAATCTACTAGCCTTGATAACTGAACCGATTAGATAATCTCCAACAAGACGAATTGTAAGAGAATCACGATTGTATCGCCATTTTTCTAATGCATCTTTTAAATCATTCGATGAAGGATGTGCAGTTAATCGTAAAAGTTGGCTATTGTTACCAACAACGGCACCATCAAATGGAAGTATACGTATAGCAAGTAAATTGAATTGGTCACATACTAAAAAGGCAGAAAAATAAATACTCGTAAATACAATAATATCAAATTTAAATGATAAATTTGTTTGTTTTTTATGGGAACAAGGACAATAATTATTCCCAGATGTCAATAATGTATGGATAATATATGTTAGGACATCAACAACATTATGAATCAATATAGAGCGGTACTTTCAAAGAGGGACAACCTTTCTCCTCTCTCTCTCCCTATATATATATATATATGGCCTCAAAGGTTCGGGGCGACCGTCACCATTTATAGGGACACCGATTTCTCAAGTGTACAGCTTTTCTTGATATTTCCCTTTTGTTTACACCACTTCCTAAAGGACTGTTTCCTAATTTTGGATTAGACCTAATAGTGATCAATTAATAGTATTGTCATATGGTCTATAGAACTTCCTGTTGATCAAAATATGTATATTCACCGTACAACCGAGAATCAGTTCTTTTAAGGAAATATGGAAACTGATTCACGTTTCTCAACTTTGCATCTCATTACATATGAAGTCAACCAATTTTTCTGGCACATTCATGAGTACAGATGATACATCATGTGGTACCATAAATTTATGATTTGCTCTCCAATTTTGTTGATAAGTTCAAAATTTTAGTTTACACTGCTCTACGAATTCTTTTATGTGGTAACTCTCGAAGTTCTAGCAGTCACATCGCTGGCATATGGTAGGCTGAACTAATCATGTCTAGGACTAAGTACAATTTCCTAGCACCTCTTTGAAACACTCTACAAGTAGAAAATTCATTATATGTACACTTGGATAATAGGTGTGCCAAAAGTTCGAGCAGGTTGCAACACAGAGAGGGTCGGTCTCCTACTGACTTTACAATTTTTATATAAACACTTTAAGTAGTATAGCCATTATACGAGTAAATAAACTCAAAAATGCATAGGAAATCTAAAATATAAGAACAACATGCTATTGAGATGAAATTATCTTTACAACTTAGTTAAAAACTCAAAATATAGGACAAATATTCTACATTTGTTCAACTGCATACACTATTATAAGATTTCGAGAATTATTGAGTGATATCTGCTATAAATAGAATGGAATTACATAGCTCACGCTACAATGAGTACGGGACTTGCTCAACTACTATAATTAGGGAAATACTAAGGTACTACAGAATGAAATACCAATCGTTACATGATACATAGAAAACTAGGGGCGATCAAACCTCGAAACGGCATTAGTGAATGAAGTTACTAACTGTTGGTCTGAGTTGTGTTGATAATAATGGATAAGTTAAGAAATTCATTCACCAGGTAATTGAATATGAGCGACACTATAAGTGTGGAAACTAATAGTACTACCCAGTTACTCGAAGTGAAGTAGGAGGAGCAGGGTTCAAACTGGGAATCTGGTAGCTAAGGGTCGTGCATCGTAAACACTAAGCTATTATTATTTAAACATATAAACATTGGTGTAAGGAGACACCAAATATATATGAGCACATCACCATTTGATTTGTGTGAGGGCTGGAATACTACCATGGCGCCCAAACAGAAGCAGGTTCTACTAAGCTACCGCATTGTCTATATCGTTAAGGTCCGTGAGATAATTGGAATCATTGGCTAGAGACGCTGGATAATATGGCTCAGAATCCGCCGTAGCGGTGCAGACTCATTTACTATTTGGCTTTCCCTAAACCACCAGCTTTTTTATAATTTCATAGATTTTATTTCTCGACTTGATTCCGTTTTCTCAAACTACATTTTTTTAATATTTAATCATGCTAACTATCATTTCCATCACAATTATTTCGATTCATTTGCCATTTATCTTGTTAAGCTCATCTCGCTGAGTTGGTGTGATATAGTATATTAAGCTAAGGCACATTCGTTTCAAGCTTTATATTGATCACGACCATGACTGATTGGTTAAGTAATACCTCAAAAGATGACCAATTTTTTACAAAAGAATATTTTGTCATCTTGAGAAAAAGCAATTTTATTATAAACAAAACGTCTGTGTAACTAATTGACAGGGAAAGACAATCCATAACTGATAGGAATGAAAGAAGAAATGCAATCTACCGGGATTACGATAAGATTTTGGCGAGAAACAGTGAAAAGTCGAAAGAAAAAGGCTTTTCCTCCCTCTAAGATAGACACAGTATGGTATAAAAAAATAGTTATGAAAGTGGGAAAAATAAACTTATTTTGATTTTCTAAACAAACAAAAAAGCCTCACCTTGTTCAGCTCCAGCCTCTATAAGAAATGAATCAAGACTACCCCAACGATCATAGAATAGACAATCTTGATACCATTGAGACCATGCTTCTAAATCCATTAAAGAAGGACAGGCTGACAGAAAGCTTAGGACACATTCACGTTGAGTAAGCAAACGCGAAATAATATCTGATGATGACGATTGTAAACTTATAGATTGTTGAGTTTCTTCCATAGTTAAAATGTTGGGTATATGAACATGATGACTGAAAAATCGAATAACGAAATAGTATTTTTAGATATAAATAATAGGTATACATACTGCGATACTACGATGGGTAGACAATAAAAATAAAAATGCAGACAATGACAGGTTAAAGATCGACAATAATCAATCAAGATCGAGGTCGACAGGACAAGCTGTTAGTTAAATGTGAAAAAAATTCGAATACTTCATTTCTACCTGACGTTTATGCTGATGATGTTCAAGAAAACAATGAAGGCTCTACGACTACACCATCTAGTTCAAATAATAAAACTACCAAAATCATCCACCTGAGCTTCAAATTTTCACCATCTCGTGGTCATCACGATGATAAATAACAATCTCAACTTAAAAACTTGACACAAAAAAAGGATGTAAAACGTTAATGCAAAAATTCTAGGTAGCAACATTCGATCTGAGTTGATACCATATGTCAAAACAGAAACTTTACAATCAGTAATATAACAGTAATTATTCATGATACGTCATTGTCATTGGTTATTTACCATCCGATATTGCAAGTTGTATTCATAAGTTTAGAAAAGAGTGGATTAATTCATTATAAGCCAGCTCGTCTTATCCAACACGTGAGGTGAAATCTTAAAATTCACTAAGCATAAAAAATAGTTTGAAGAAAAAACAAATCCTATAAAAATGTACTTTTTGCATAAAGTAATCTAGTAACTACGTGAATATTGAGCGATTTCAAATCGAGAGTCCAAACTAGTGCGTCTTTGTTGAAGGCGTTTAATGAATATAAGGTTGGTAGAATTTTGTTCTCTGAGCTGGATGGTTTGGTCGTGGAGCTTTCATCGTTCTTCTGAACGACATCATCAGCACAAACTTCAGATAGAAGTGAAGTGTTTGAATTTCTCCATATGTGTTTCACAGCTTGTTCTGTGCACCTCGATGTTGATTGGTCAATAAGAATCAATCGTCACAGAACCCCTTCAAGACATTCGATTGTAGATCACCCAGTTGCCCAAAGTGAAGTGGAATCGAGTTTGAACCTGAAGTTTAGTGGCTATGAGTCGACCACCACAACCACTTAGTCACTACTTCCAAACTTAATATGCATCATAGTGTAGCTTCCGTTCGTGTACCATACTTTTTGAATACTGGCGCGATTCAGCTACCTTACATCCAATCACAAAGTAAGAAAAATATAATTGAAGTATTCTATATTGACGAGTATTCTTTTTATACGATAGAAATAATTTCCGACGACTTGACTATCCATGAACCGTGTTTTTTTAGTTACTTCCATTCATAAAATTAAGAGTAAACTTCTCAGAATATTCACTATCAAGTAAGGATATACATGTATAAATATAATTTTAGTAATAAACTCTACAACTTTAACCAATAACCGCCACAATCAATCGAATAACACATACAATAAAACAAACAAAAAAGAAAACAACTAACTTACTGATAAACTAATGGTTTTACTTTATTGATTTCATGATCATCCATAATTTGTGATAAAATTGATTCAATCAACTGCTCCAATTTTGATGTGTGAATGATGCGTAAATTTTCACAGACAAGTTTACACAATTCCTAAATTTGTATTTTGTTGATGTTGTTGGTGTTGTTGTTGTTAAGGAAAACAATAAAAGGATTAGATAACGTAAGTGATTGTATGTTATTCTTCTACTGAAAAGACATGAATGCATTTACAATGGTAGTAATCAGTGATTTAATTATTAAACATATACCTTGTTTTTTTTTATAAAAAGAAAAACATGGATTATTGCTGGTGACAGTCAGGAAATTGTGTACAGAAATTTATCTAAAAGGTATTTCAGTCAGTCAGCTACAACGTAGGATCAGGCACATATATGCATCAATCCAATTCGCGATACCTCATTAGCACAAGAAGATGAACACCAAATTCATAGAAGTAGTTAATTCAGTGGTGGTAATATATAAAGAGAGTTATTAGGAGATGTAGGAAGGATTTGAATGTGACCAACTTGGTCTCGTTACGGGTATGAGAGTTGATACCACTTCCTGGTTGCCTACACCGTGGAAGGGTATTTCTTGAGGGACCTGAAAAGAAATTTGGATCAATGTTGGTCTTAACGATCTAGGAGCGTGACCGCAGAGCCCAAGGGACAACCGCCTGAGGCTGGTCCCGCACGGCCTATTAGTGGGAGGTTTTTAACGTGTTAGCTCCGTTCTTCAAAGGGCCTTACCGCCGGAGACGGAAATCCGTGAGGTAAGGTGAGGTGTGACATTTTTAAGGCCGACCTTTTCTAACCCCACCTCTCCTTTTGGGAAGGCAGCATCGCTGCAGATGCTGGTTGTCCGAGGGAAACACCTTACTGCTGTCACACCTCTCTACAGTCAGCAGTACGATTTCGCCCTCAGACCTTGAGTTGCTGCTTTTGAGCTTACCGTTCTCCAATTGACCTTCCTGGCATGGTAGAACCTACAGGAACATATGTTCCAGCCAATATAGCTCGGTTGGGTCATCAGGATAGGCAAGCCCGACCATTACGTCAAGGTAGCGGCTACGGTCAGGACATGACATGGTTCAAAATCATTTGCAATGGCACAGGTTTATCCACTCTGTGTTCTCCTAAATTCTAATCTTCTGAATTCTTCGTGTCCCTTTTTTCCCCTTCCCAAATTTATTTCACTGGATTGTACTCCTTCAATAACATCTTCAATCCCGAATGTTCCCGATTACTGCTTATACTCTTACCACCTCTACCACTATGGGATTTGAATCGACAACTGAATCTCTGTGCTGATGTGGTATGGCAACTCGAAATGATGTACGTACGTATGAAGTTCTACGTTGTTACTGACTGACTGACAGGTAATGTATAAAAGAAAGATTGCATATAAGGATATAGTATAGGAAGAAAGAAGTAGTTCCTAGAGAGAAAGGCATGAAGCGATTATAATCTCATAGTTTAAGGGAAGACAAAGAGTGTAAATAATCAACCCAAATAGAAAAGAGATATCGTTTTTGGATGAAACATAAGTTTCCATGTTTGACTAAAATTAATACTCATATCATCAGCCCAGTTGTTCATCCAAGTTTAAGAAAGAACTATTATCAATTATACTTCCCTGTAGATATTAACCAGAAGTGTTACAAATAAGTTATATCATTTATCCTGAAACATGAATGAATTAATCATAATCAATATAGAGCGTGGTGTACAAATTCCCGTTAGTCCAAGTTACTATACCAAATAAGTATAGCAAAATGAAATTAATAAGACGAATGGTAAAATAGTCAAAATAATTGTAATAGTAATGCCATTTGAAAAGAATTAAAAATTGGTATTATGATCCGAGAAAAAAGAGTGAAACGATTTGTACGGGGAATATTGGAACTGGAAGTTATAAAGGAAGGTATAGATTGAATGTATCATTCTGATTTATGTCAACCAATATCTCCAACCATTGATTGTCATTATCATGTAAATCCCCACTAACACGACTCAGATGATTTGATGAACTAATGCAACGTCCTGAGATACAATGTACACTCAGGTCTTTCAGTTATATATCCTGTAGTTTGTATTATTTATAGGATTTCTATAAATCTATACACACACAGAAGCCTAAGAAATTTATAGTATAAAATTACAAGAATATGGCTTTACTTTATGTCTTTGGTTTTAATTTCGTCAATTTGACCCTTACATTGTTTTAGAAAAAGCATAATTGTCTAGTTTACGGACTTCTATGAAGCGCGCAAGAATTATTCCGAAATAAAGGGTTGAATATAGGACGTTCATATGACTTATTAACGAATTAAGGATAAGTCGAAACAAATCTATTCATATTTGAAATCTTAGCTGATATGTGGAATCGTATGATTTATGTCATCAACAGAAAACGGTGAAGTTTTTCACCATTAACCAGTACATGTGTGTAATTAGAAGTACCCATAGCGGAAAAGTTACAAAGATGGAAAATCAAATGCCTGTGGTCCGAAGAGCTTAATGATAACGTCTCAGATTATTAAGCTGAACGACGTGGACTCAAATCCAATAGGAAGCATCAGTTCCCAAAGGATTGGAAGTATGCCCTGCTGATAAGTGCCAACTAACACGAAATCTAAGTTCAGGGTCTCCTGTCAACTATATCCAACCACGTAACATCAGTTATATAGTACTCCCTTTAACGGTTCTTTTCACCTAAAATTAATTTGCAATAAATAATATCTTGAAATCATAACTGTTTTTATATTGTACCAACTACAATGTAACTTGTCTATGTAATATACATTAAGCAATACATACTTCTGTATTTTTCTGGGCGCAAAGATATTGACAATGAAAACAGGTAATCAAATAAATTCTAAGAAAAAAAACCAGTTAACTAGTAGAAAATTTTGAAGGAAAGTAGCGGTTGAACTGTGATGAAAAACGTCATGAACAATAACTAACCTCTTTACTTCTCGAAGAGATACATGTCAATTTCTGTACGAAGTCAAATACTAATCCAGGATCTATATCTCTTGATGTTGATGATTTTTCGTGTAGTACACTAGCTTTACCTGGACTTGATTCATTGTAACTGTTTTCATCACGTATTTTATCTTTTCTGACATCAGTCACATTAAATGGAAACTAAAAAATAAACAATGTAATTCATTTCTGAAACTTTATTTAATTATATTACTCATGAGTAACTTGTATTAGATTTGACATTTTACTGAGTCACATTTCATTGGTTTGTCAAAATACTATTTGGTAATGTAAAAATTATCAATCTGGTCATGAGCTTTTTTTTATTAATAGTAATATTCCCCAACTATTTAAATGTACATACTTAAAATGGAGTTCGAACCTGAAACTCAATGGTTGGAAGTAGAGGGTGTTAAACGCGAAGCCATAATTTCACATTCCTAGCCCCAAATGCCCTGGTACGGCTGAAAGTGGGGAGAGTCCGCTCTCCCTCTAGAAATGCTCTCACACGGCCACGCGTATATAGCCTCTGCCAGGGAAGTTCTACTCACTGCCTTCTCGTGGCAGGGGTGTTGTTTGCGAAAATGAGAGGACGAATAGTGAATGTCTGGCGCTTTAACCGGATTCCAAATCAATAGTGCACATGGGCTCCAGTATCCTGCGAGAACAAATGGCATATGAACCAATTGTTGGTCACCGGCTACTATGGGACTGCATCTCCTTGCGATACTCCACTACCTTGTGGGTCAGACCTTTAGGTCAAAGACTCGGGGTGTGGCCCCCTTTAAGAAAACCACCTGCTTCGGTCTGAGCACCCGGGCAGTATCACAGCCCTCACACATATCAAATGATATCTGTGTGGCGCATATGTATTTGGTGCCTCCTTATATCAATATCTGTGTGTTGAAATAAATAAATAAATAAAACTCCTATAGAGTTTGGTTCTAATTTATACATATTAGCGTAACCAGTGTGTGTTCAAACATACTTTGAACAGATCATTTTCTCTATATTGCTAATTAACATCATGTCTGTCGCTATCTTAACCATTTTGAAAAGAGATTTTAGAGTTTAAACTAGTCTACATTAAATTATTGTTTATGAGAAACCGAAAAAATGATTTTGATTTTCTCACTCTCCAATGTATTTATTCAGATGAAATTTAAGAGTACTAGAGGATGAAATTTCGTTTTGTACACTAACAGGATTTCCATCAACTTAGGAAGAAATCATTCATACAAACATATTTCACTAATTTGTAGAATCCGGGAAGCATTTTCCTTTTCTCAATTGAGATTAATCAACTAAATGTGTCCACACGTTATTGATGATATTCTCAATAAGCCTAGATTCAAAGAAGCCATTTTAACTAGTCAGAGATGATCTAATCCAATGAATAACAAGCCACATTAATCGCTTTCTGTCAAGTTTGGTTTCGAAAAATGGACAAGTACACCAGATATACAGATGAATGCATATTACCTAGTAAACACTTTGGTAAACATTACCCTAAATACTGTCAATGAAGTTACAGAAAGTATGGATACCATATATGAATGTTAATGAAAACATTAACATGAATACAACCACATTTAAATGAGGAGTCCTAAATGGGGTGAAATACGTATTTATTTGAGTTGTCATCATTGAAATATACAACTGATTGATGTGGTGAATTGGTAATTAAAGTGTTCAACATGTAATCCCTAAGCGGTACCTCCGAACTCCACTACACGTACTTCAGTTCAGGCAGTTCGGTATTTTCAGTCATTCTCATAGACACAAATCTGTAGATTAAACCCGAGTACGCTAATAGAACAAAGGATCAGTCACAATTGAAATAGAACCTAGAACATATGTTCATCAACTTAAATTGCCACACCACATCATGATAGCTAGATGAAAGTATGAAAAATATACAACTCAATCGATAGTAGTAGTAGCGACAGTAAAAAAGATTAGACAAAGAAAGTGTAATTTAAGAGGGAAGTAATGATTCACGGAACAACTCAGGAAGTTCAGGATCTAAGTGGTATACAAAACGTAGAATTATCTGCGACACTGAGACAGATTTTTTAACTATATCACTCAACATTTTCAACCACTAATCACGATTATCAAGTGAACCTCCCAACCAAGAATCTTGCACTTAATAACATGCATTAGACTAACAGCCAAAGAATTCATGCTAGGTCCTGATACACGAACGTGTGATACGTTGGTGAATTATAGGAATTAAAGTATTTTTTAGGAAATAATAAAAAAAGACTTGATGCTTACTAAATTCACATTGTTCACACCGTCATTTATAGCTTCAGCAAGTAGACTTAATAAAGATGGAGAATTCTGACCAATTACTTGTGGGAAAATTTCACGTTCCAATGATGCCAGTGATAACCACAAATTGTTGGACTGATTCACAACATTACCTTCTTCTTCGTGTTGCTGTTGTTGTCTTAATAAATCATTAAATTTGTCTACAATCTCTGTCAATTCGGGATACTTAGTTGTGATAGCATCTGCAAAAAGTAAACAATGATAGAAATATTGAAAATTTTATTTAAACAACAATTGTTAGTCCTTGAAGATATTTATAATTTATATTATCAAGTACATCCTAAAGACATGTCATCATCGAGTTATCTACTAGGTATAGGTTAGTGTAATCTGACTTCAAGTCAAAGTCTTAGTGTGAAGGTTGGTGATATTAGTCAGTTGTCCAAACAGAAGTAGATAAAGCGATAACAAGAATCTGTAACTTAGTGGAGGAAACTTGATCGTCTTAATTACAGACAGATCCACTTGACGACTAGTGATACTGTCCAGCTGATCGAAACAAATTAGGTTGGTGGGTAAAAATCAATAATTTAATTGATAAGAATCGAGGGATTCAATCACTAACCTATGACTTACTAATACATTTGTACCATTGCCACAAAATTTATTTATCGACAGCCTTATTTCAATTCATAAGGTGAATATTTTTTGTTAATAATTTAGTCTAATAACTAATTTGATGATTTTAGATTAAATCAAGAGGTAAGTTCCGAATATAGTCACATACAGAGTGTAGTTGACGGTTTATGTGTATACAGAAATTGTCAGAAGACTTGAATATTTCACACATCTAGAGTATTAATATATAAGGCACTGGACTTTGAACAAGGGCGTTATGGGTTTGAAATCAACCTCTTCTACTTTATTTCGGGCTGACGGATATTAAAATTAGCGATCTCAAAAACAGCATACCTCAAAACCAAGTGAATAAAACTACTTAATGAGTTGCACTAAGAACCATAGTTCATACATAAGTGGAAAATAATAAATTCAACGTTATTCTCTAGCAGTAATAACTCATACCGTCAAGTTTCGTTGAAATCTCACATAATTCATCGTCTGAATTAACTGTCAGGTCAATAAGTTCCATATCATCTGCTGCTGTTGGTTGTGACGATGATTCCAAAACTCGATCCGCTTTACGCACAGACGATACGATTCGAGTCAATAATTCCTTGATATTCATTGATTCCGTATTGAAGAGTAGAATGAGTAAATGTACGAGAGTACGAAAAGGCTGAAAGACATGAAAAAGGAAAAAATATATGTACTAAGGGAAAAATAATAGCAAATCTTAATTTATGTAAAATGTGCATCCTTATACAGAGCGTTCGTAATATACTGCTTGACTAAGGTCTAGTGTTAGCTGATATTCATCAGTAAAGTGTAGTCGGAACCTTGGTGGAAAAGCAATTTGGTCGATTGAAATTATTCGGCACTAAGAAATTAGACAACTACAACACTGGTTATAGCTCTGTAAGCAACCAGTTGTACCATAGTCTGAAGACCAGTCGCATCCTGAATAAGTCAGTGGTAACGTTTCAAAATGTGAGGCTGGGTGATGTGGGTTCTAATCCCACAAGGAGCTTAATATTCCTCAAGAGTGCAAAAACGCTCCACCATAATATATATATATATATATATATATATATATATATATATATATATATATATATAATTTCTTACCCCAGTAGCAGCAATACGTTGCATAAATTGACCAAATACAAGTAGCGAATCTAAATGTCCTTTAGGCCATACTAAACTTCTCTCTTCAGCCCAATTTTGCAGTTCAGCGTGTAACTGTGTAGCACAAGTTGCCAAATGTTTAAGAACATTGACTGGTTTCATAGATCGATATGACTCTAGAAAAAATAGATTTAAATACATCGAATGTTAAAACAAGACAAGTTTCCCAAAGTTTTTGAGCAAGATGTCGATAGTTAGTACGGTAGAAACCTCCCTTCAAACTAATTGATACCCCAAAAATATATATGAGGAATCGTTAGCAATGTATGAATAAGATGACACGTTTGCTTATAAGCTTTAATTAATGAGCAGATGCCTATGTACCCTGGTTTTGGGGGCTAGTGATACCACTTGGATATTCGCAGCAAAGTAGGCTGGGTGGGTTTAAGTCTGTAGCCTAACTATAAAAAGCTAAGTACTTTAACCAATAAATCACCCTATTCAATCTATTTATTATTTACAGGTTTTCAAAACTGTCTACAAGTTGTGCATCCATAAGTTTGGGAATAGATACTTCCTTATTTAGGATGAAAATTATCCTGAATATGACGTGAGCAGTTGTCAACCTTCAGTTGTTACTAGTTAATGACTTGTTAGATATAATAAACAAAACCAAGCTATTTATTGAAATCATAAATTGATATAAGTTAAACCGCCATTGAAAACCTTGAAGCACTGGAGAGCCGTCTCGTCCTAGTGTAGGACACCTCAATATTGCGAATCCACGATCCCGTACACGGGAATCCAACCCAATACCTTCAGTCTCGCGTACGAACTCCTAGCCTCTAGACCACTGAGCTGACATCCAACGGTGTTAATATTTGACCTCAATCAATTCACAAGATTACGCAACCATCTCCCATTGTCTTTGGTGGATAATTGCCTAAAACCTGACATAGTTTATCTCCACTGGCCACAGATTTTCACTAGATCTTCGGAAACTTCCTCTTGAAGCTAGTCAGTGGTCACATGATAACTGTCAGTTGTGGAGATTGTTGATTTTCATTAAGATTAGGAACCGATCAAGAGATAATCTTATTACCTTTCACTATCTTTATTACTTGTATTTTGTTAAATTTTTAATTTCCACTACACTACAGACCAAATTGCAACACTACGGATCATCGTCGAACAATCAGTTGAGTGGAACTCGTCACTGTACATCAACTTCATTGATTATGGAAAGGCATTTGACAGTGTAGATAGAAGAACGTTATGGAAACTTCTTCGACACTATGGAGCTCCTGAGATTGTCAACATTTTCCGGAACTCATACGACGGACTACAGTGCAAGGTCGTGCATGGAGGACAGCTGACTGATGAATTCGAAGTAAGGACCGGAGTCAGACAAGGCTGTCTACTCCTCCCTTCCTCTTTCTTCTGGTGGTCGACTGGATTATGAAGACCTCGACATCTGAGGGAAAGCACGGAATACAATGGACAGCTCAGAATCAATTAGACGATTTGGACTTCGCAGATGACCTAGCCCTCCTATCACATACACACGAACAGATGCAGATGAAGACAACCGGTGTAGCAGCAGTCTCTGCATCAGTAGGCCTCAAAATACACAAGGGGAAAACCAAGGTCCTCAAATTCAAAGCGGAGAACAGCAATCCAATCACTCTTGATGGCGAAACTATGGAAGATGTAGAATCCTTCATATACCTGGGAAGCATAATTGATGAACAAGGAGGTTCAGATGCAGACGTAAAGACGAGGATTGGCAAAGCAAGGACAGCATTCCTACAGTTGAAGAACATATGGAACTCAAAACAACTTTCAGCCAACATCAAAGTGAGAATCTTCAATACGAATGTCAAGGCAGTTCTACTGTACGGAGATGAAACATGGAGAACTACAACAACCACCATCAAGAAGGTACAAGCATTTATAAATAGCTGTCGACGCAAGATACTCAACATCCATTGACTGGATACCATCAGCAACAGCCTTCTGTGGGAGAGAACAAAACAGCTTCCAGCTGAAGAGGAAATTTGGAAAAGACGATGGAAATGGATAGGACATACATTACGCAAATCGTCAAACTGCATTAGGAGGCAAGCCCTAACTTGGAATCCTGAAGGGAAGAGGAAAAGAGGAAGGCCAAAGAACACATTACATTGGGAAATAGAAGCAGATATGAAGAGGATGAATAACAACTGGAAAGAGCTAGAAAGGATTATCCAGGACAGGGTTGCATGAAGAATGCTGGTGAGCGGCCTATGCTCCTCAATGAGGAGTAACAGGCGTAAGTAAGTAAGTATAGTTAAGCAATTGAGTAGCTTTAAATATATCGCAGCTTTCTTCATTAAATAAGTATACATGTAAATTAAGACAATAATGAAAAAAATGTGGAAAAAAAACCAATTTAAGCACTTACTTAGAGCTGATTTACTCACCAAGGAGGAAGTAAAGTCCTTATACAATTGACGGATATCATTATCTAATTGATCTTGTGCTAGTCTAGCAGCTTTATTTAGATTCTCAGGCCTTAGATTATTTGTTATTTCCTATAAAGAATAGAGGCAAAGAATTATGTTATAGTAACCTGATACCTCGTGTTAATTTCTAATTTTGATTAACTCAACTACCAGGTACAGATTCGTGTATTTAATTTCAAGTCACACCCTAAGTGTGAGGGCTAGTAATACTACCTAGTTGCTCAAATCGAAATAGGTGAAGCAGTATTCGAATGGTCATCTACTGACAATGACTTATCTACTTGCTGTTGAGAATAAATGGCTATTCGCCAAGACACTTCGAAAGATACGATGGAACAACTAGACACTTGTTAATAATGTATCTTTATGAACGCTGAACTGATTTTCATGTATTCCCTGATAAATGCTCAAAAACTTTGAGGAATTGAATAAATAATTAATTTCATTTTCCATTTACCTTTCATTTTATCCTTAATGGTAAGTTATGAGGATGAATAACTTTTTCATGATCTGGAAGTTTAGTCATTATGAAACCTAATAAATGTATCCAGTATGTAGGAAAACACAAACACTCTACTCTTAATACAGAAGGCGTAATTCGGGACTATCATGGGTCTGTGGGTTTTCAATGTAGCCCCAATAGACATGCCTTGAAAAATCCATCTTGCTAGTAAATATTTTGCATATATCTTAATAAAAAAGCTAAGTTAAACAGCTAGTGTATTATAAGGAAAATTTAACCTCAATAGCTCATTATGACCAACTGGTAAAACTTTCGCCAAATTTTGAGCCGCGGTGCTACATGTCACTTCATAATGGTAACAAATGTAGCAGTATAAAGAATGAAACATTCCCCACTGAAAAACAGTTTGAAAAGTGCCTTCGTATATTTTGACCATGGCCAATGAGTTGTCGAGGCCTTTTTAAAAACATACATAAAGCTGACGACTAACTAGGGAAGTGTGTATTTCATTGCTGAATTTTGTTATAAACCACAAAGCGAAAGATAATGTACGTAGCTGAACAAAAACTAGCAAAGCTAAATTGATTACTTTCAAACTTAATGTGATTTTATATACATACTACAGAAAAATCCATTAAGACAATAGGAAACAACCTACTTGGACAAGATGGGAGAACCCCTTAATTCTAATTCCATACTTGGCCAGCTGATTCAACTTTTGATACTGATTGCTATGTTGTACGACCCTGACATTATCCAAAACTCCCAGCATATGATTTGTAAACACTGATTCCCACCACGAACAAACGGATCCTCGACTAACAGTTGTAGGTAAACGATATCGATTTTTACAGATGCAAGTTTTTAGTTCTTCTAAAACATCCTCTGTACACATTTTCAGTGCTTGATTTGTAAATCCTGTTGTGAAACACGCCACTATATGTTGATCAAATTCACTAACTTGAAGTATTTCTAGTGCAGCTGGTAACCTTACGATTGGGCCAAGAAGTCGATAATCATTTGGTGCTTCCAACTTGAAACACAAAACGCAAGAAATTATTTGATGAAGCAACTTTTAAATTCCTTAGATATTCTAACGCAATTTCGAAGTTATTTTAAATACAACTAAATGAAAAGAACTCAATTCGGAAAAGTAGAGGGTTTACCGAGAATTCAAACTGAGAACCACTTGAAGTATCAAATAGAAAATTAGGATGTGCTTTGTAACTTGTGAAAAGTGTATATCTGTTGGGGACGATATATCCCCAAAACTCATATTTGTAGTTTTATCATATCGATTAAGTTATCGATTAAATGATTAATAGCAGTCAATTGATGAACTGATTGAGTAATGTTTAAAAATCTCCCATGACAATATCGATTATATGTATTTGTATATATACGTTTTAAATTGTGTTTGTGGGCTCGCTCGTTTTCTGGTTGTTTGCAGAATATATTTTCCATACCAAGCTTGAACTTCTTCTAGATAACGGGGCTGGGACTCATCAATAGCTAGATTACTGGTCTTTGGTCACTCAGTCTTGTTCCCGTTCGCAGATTAAGTGAACTCGTGAAGCTTCAAACCTAACAATATCACACAAAATTTTTACGCCATCAATGGTCATCCCATAAACTTCTTTAAAAACTCAACCAATTTAAAAGTGTCCAGTGGTTTTGTGATTAACGTAATTCAGTAATGAAGTACAGAATTGTGTTTAACAAATTCAATAGAAGAGTTAATGATGATACTTGGACGTACGAAGTAAAGTAGGCAAGACAACTTTTCGGTCTGCAAACTATTAGCTGAGAGTGCAATCACTTAAGCATTGCCTGAATTTCTTTCCTGTGCTAGAAATATTGTAGGTTGGATTTTATAGTAAAAAAGTCAATCATCAAGACGTTACTTGGACCTTATAGTTTGAGATGAAACACAGTTTTCTAATTAGAGACTTCAAATGATCTGGCATAGATGTTTATACGTTAATAGTTTCAGAAATAGGTTAAGTCTTGTCAGAAGCCACCGGGATTTCATGCTCAGTCACAAGTTAGATTCCAATAATCGCAACCAAACAAGTGACAGTACCCATTGAAAAATAAAAATAGACATCAATACATACCTGTATTAGCTGCTCCATGTCCGCCAAAGTTAGAACGTTACGAGTAGTAGCATACGCCCACAAAAGCGTGTTAACCCTTTGAATCAACTTTTTGTGTTCTGCCAGACGGGGTATACAGTCTGCATTCATTCGAATGCTTGTAATAAAATTTATGGCTGACGGATAATGCTTAAAATTACATGTTTTATGATGAAAGTATAAATACCCTGAAAAGCTCCTCTTGTATGCAACCAATGCCAGTATACCGGTGTTCTTGAGAGACTTTCCATAACAGCATTTGGACAATATTGTTGACATCTTCGACAGACCTAAACTGATATGATGGTCCTGATGAAGGTTGTAAGTCAAAATAGGACGGTATCGGTTCAGGGAACGGCATTCTGCCTGACCTTCAGTTCCGCAATAATTTAACTTGCGATCCTAGAAGTTAAAGTTCAAATGGTTCAAATGGTTGTGGACGGAATAGAAGAAGCTTTCGCTTAACAGGCTTCCGTGTCTAGTAGCAGGGGATCACCAAATCCTCCAGGCAGGAACCTAGGTATGTTAACAATAAAAGAGGAAAAGAAATTGGTAAATCATAGTGCGATGCTGTCCTTGGTCCTTAAGAATAGGTCAAGTTGCTTCTTGAAGGACTCCTGAGAAGTCGCTTGAACTAGCTCGGCCGGCAGCGAGTTCCAGCTTTTGACAACTCTTAAGGAGTAGAAGTTGTGTCTACATTCCGTCTTGCTATGTTGTTTAACTGGCCTGTGTCTCTAGTATAAGTGGATCACTGATACCTGTATCTTCTGAATGATGGCTTTGGTAGTTCTCCAGGTTTCCGTCCCATAAAGTAGAACTGTTTTGACATTTGTATTGAAAATCCTGACTTTGATGTTGATTGACAGACAGTTGTTTCGAGTTCCAGATGTTCCTCAACTGTAAACATGCTACCCTTGCTTTGTTGATCCACGCGTTTACATCTGCATCAGATCCACCGTGTTCCTCGGTGATGCTGCCCAAATATGTACATGATCTTGGGCGGCCTGCTTGAATATCTGGGCTACTTGTTCCTGCCATCTGATTATTTCAACAAGTTATCTGTTTTTTTCATTTCGTTTTAACGTCTCATTACGTCCATTAATCGCATAACCTATACAGGCGCGTTTATGAAAAGCCTACGACATTGGCTGCAAAAGTTACAAAACAGTACTATAAAAGACATCGTGGTGGCTGGCAATATGTGTTAAAAAGAATGAACATTAATCGTATGTCGATTCCAGAGCTGCTAAATTCTAACTGCCGACTACTAATCAATAAAGTGAACTATCTGCAATTCCTACCAAGTCAAAATATGTATAGTAATTGTGGTGTCATCACAATTCAAGAATCTTGGTTAAATGATTTACAGGATGACTGCCTAGTATCACTACGTGATTTCATAATTTATCGTCAGGATCGATCAAACAATAAAAAGAGGGGTGGCGGCGGTGTAGCTACGTTTTTAAACGTAAACTGGTGTCGATCTTCGTTTGTGTGTTTTAAGTTTTCAAATGACTTTATCGACTGTCTAACTCTAAGATGTCGTCCAAAACATCTGAATAAATACAAATATGTTTATGTTACCAATATCTACGTGAATCCAGATTGCACATCATCTGCACTATCTGTTTTCGCTGATGAATTCACTGAGTTCGCTGTTACTGCCTTCAGTGATTCGACTTCAGTTGTACGTGGTGATTTCAATTCATGTGACTGTAGATTCCTTACGTCACAAGGTCACCAAAACGTAGTAGATTTTCCTACTCGTTTGGATGCTCATTTAGACTTCGTTTTCATTAATGAAGTGGGTATATATGCGACTCGTAAACGTGCCCCATTGTCTAGCTCGGATCACTGTATAATTCGTATTCTACCTAAAGTATATGGAAAGCATGGGAAGAGTACATTCTTACATCAAACCAAGAAAGTCAAATATGGAAATTACTCAGAAGAAAATATCCGAAATCTGAAAAATATGTTTCATACGACTAACTCACTGGAAAACACTACTGATGTTATCACCTGTTACCTTAAATTCTGTTTTGATATTTGTTGTCTCACTGAAACCATTTTTGTAAGTTTTGATCGGCTTACATCTTCACAACTAAAACGACTACGGAGGATGAAAGAAAGAATGTACAAGGAGAAGAACTCAAATGAAGTTCGTAAGCTAAATGGTCTGATAAACCTAGAGATTAGACGTCTCAACTGCATGTTTACTCAAAAACTCTTATCTTGCAAAAACTCTACAAGTATGTGGAAATTCTTTAAAGAACTTACAGGTGGCAGACAGATTAGGAGCGACAACCAGCTGAATGTTTGTGACTTAAATAAGTCTTTTGTACGTCAGTCATCTGATGTGATGCTCCCTCTATCCACGGGTTTAAAAACTAGCTGTGTTCCTACTTTCACTGAAACTGATGTACGAGGATGTCTCCAGTCGCTTAATTCATCTCGATGTTTGGGACCTGATGGTATCCCAAACCTCCTTTTTAAAAATTGTGCTGACGTCCTATGTTATCCGTTCACAGCTATCTTTAACAAATCCTTCTCATCTAATCTCATACCGAAAATGTGGAGAAAGATGAAGATAATCCCTGTACCCAAGAAAGTATCTGGTGATAAGAATGTAAAATTTAGACCTATTGCAATAACTTTACTCTTCCTCAAAACAATGGAAAAATTATTAATACTTCCACTTCAGCCTGCGATAAAAGAGCATATTGATCCATATCAGTTTGCTTACAGACGCGAAAGAAGCACTTTAGATGCTGTTACTGTTCTGCATCACAACATAGTGTTCAACTTAGAAAAGGGCGAGAAGTATGTTCGATGCGCTTTTCTGGACTATACTTCAGCTTTTGATTCTACACCAAGACAACGTTTTATTAACAAGTTAATCAGCGTCAACACTGACAGCTGGATAACCAACTGGCTATGTTCATACCTCTCTAGAAGGGAACAGTACACTGTATTTGGAGGAAAGTGTTCAGAGTCTCTGCTGTCTCATGAAGGTGTACCACAAGGAGCTGTTCTTTCACCTCTTCTTTTCTCTTTTTTCTGTATGATATGCCATCATCTACAGAAAACACTTTTTTGAAATATGCGGATGATCTGTATGTATGCCTTTCTCTTCCTCTTTACATCCCACAGAAATGAATGAGTTTTTGTCTCGTATTGATTGTTGATCTGTTGTTAATAGTCTCATACTTAATCCGTCTAAGTGTCAAGGTGTTAACTTTAGCATGAGACATGAACGGAATCTAAACACCATTTTGAGATCCAATAATGCTTGTACCATCGGAGACTTTGATATACACAGTGTCGAAGGTCAATTATCTTGGTGTTATCTTTTCCTCTGATCTGTCTTGGTCTTCCCACGTTTTATTGTTATCAAAGAAGATTTTCCGTCTGACCTACTACATAAAGAGATTGCATGTTCTTGGAATTACTCGTCATTTACTCTTACAATTTGTCGATTCTTGCATATTACCTATTATTTTTTACTGTTCTCCATTATTCTTTCCCGGACTTTTGAGGAAAGACTTTGCTGTTTTGCGGAGAGTGCTGAAGGCAGTTGGCAAGATGTGTGGTGAATCTTTCGAGGTCATAATTAATATGGTGCTGGAAAGACATTTAAAATCATGCAAACTCCTGGCAAGTGTTGTTTTATCAGATACTAGCCATCCCCTTCATTCTTGTCTTTCTCCTTGTATATCTTCTGGTAGAACGAGACGTAATTACATTAAAATCCATACACGCAAGCAAAAGTATAAAAGTTCTATAATACCTTACCTAGCAAATATACTCTGGGACGAACAGGTTGTTAGAGTCAACCTAGTCAATAACTTGCATTCTTAACATGTCCTTTATTCTAAAAGTTGTACAGTTTTTCGGGGATTTTTTCTTTTTTTCTTTTTTTAAAAGAAACATTTCTCTTTTTTGTATTCGTTACTGTTTTTTGTTGTTGCGTGAGTAACTTGTTGAAATAACCTGTGCTGAGAATTCTATATTGTACCAAAACTATAATATTGAATAAAGCCATTAATAATAATAATAAATAAAGGTTTTTACATCTAAATCTTCTCCGTCACTTATGATTGGATCGGTGCATGCTGTGTTGTGCCGGAGAATCTTGCTTTTCCCTTTGTGCATATTGAGGCTGCTGCTATCCTGGTCGTCTTCTCCTGCGTTTAGCGATAGAAGAGCCAGATCATCTGCGAAGTCGTCCAGCTGTACCCTAGCTGTCCACTATATCCCGTGCTTCCTCTCAGATTTTGACGTCCTCATGATCCAGTCGATCATTATGCGAAAAAGGAGTTGTGAGAGTAAGCAACACCGCATAACACTGATCTTTACTTCAGACGAGTCTGTCAATTGTCCTCCATGCACGATTTTGCAATTTGATCTATCATAAGAATTTCGTATAATATTGACTATCTTCTCAGGCACGCCGTAGTGTCGAAGAAGCTTTCATAGTGTTGTCCTGTCCATGTTGTCAAATGCTTCTTCGTAGTCAATGAAATTGATGTAGAGGGATAAATTCCATTCAGTTGATTATTCCACAATTGCCGGTAGTGTTGCGGTTTGGTCCTCTTGCTTCGCCGCTCTTGATTTGTCTGATAGCCATGCTGATCTCCTCAATTGTTAGTGGGCCAACATTGATTGGGAGGTCCGTGAATGTTACTTCGATGTTGAGTGGGTCCAGAGGGGCTGGTCGTTTCAAACGTTTTTTGAGGTGTTCTACCCACCTGTTTCGCTTTTTTTGACTTTGGTGATTACTTTGCCCTACTTGCTTTTCAGTGGTTGTTACGGGAGAACTGAAGACATTGGGTGGCTTAAAACCTTTTATTCTACATTATTAATTTACTGTGTTTTTGGATGTAATTGTTTTACTTAACTTTTGAACTTGTTTGTTTATATCATTGTTTCGGACATTTTGGTTTGTCTTTGGTTTGGTATTTTGGTGCTTTCTTTATCTTTGGTTTGGTATTTGGGAGTTTTGCTCCGGGAACCTATAAAATTGAAGAAAGACATTCGGTCAATTATTTGTGAATTACGAATAAATTTGGCATCTTAATTGGAGCTTGGTTCTGTTATTAATTTGGGTTCGTATTTCGCAAGTAGATAGATAGTCCGTACTTCAATAACTGGAACGAGCAAAACTTGGACTCAACAGTGGTCGTTCCGGTTTACGATGTTTTCCAGAGAGTTTCTTTTTTGTGTCATACAGTTCTCTCATGTTTCCTTCTCTTGCAGCCTTTTCTGCCGTCGTTGCTAAATCCTCGACATATTTGCGTTTGTCGGTTCTGATGCTACTCTTCTGTGTATTCAGCAGGTGCCTTGACTTCTTCTGCCCTT